TTGAGTAGGCAATTTTAATAATTTAAGTAAATGATCCATCACCGTTACAGTTAATCTATCAACGACAGTCGGAGCATCCGCAGGGGAGTTTTCTTTTTCCTTAGCTTTCCTTTTTAACAAATTGTCTTGTTCAAAAGTTTTTTCTTTACCCACAAAAGAAGGCAAAAAAAAAGAAGAACATCGAATGAGATAAAAAGTGACGGCGAAAATGTTGAGAAATGTTTTTGCTCTGATAAGAGAAAATTTGCTGGCTATTAGTATTTAAAGCGTTAGGTCATTTATATTCATTTAACTGAAAAATTTAATGGGACGGGATGCAGGCATTGGGACCAAGTGTTGATGGATAATCTTAATATCCTTGAAGTGGACAAGCCAACAAAAAGACCAAAGAACAGATAAATGCCTCAAAGAAAACTTTCTTTAAGTTTGTTTGAAAGAATGGTTATCGTTTGCGGACAATGGAGGCCAATGAAATAAAATGAAAGCCAAATTTAAAGCTTAAAAGTTATTATTCGGGTTCAGTTGTATCATATTATGGGATGGAAATTCTTAAAATATTTAGAAACTTCTAATAGCTTTTGAACAGATTTTCCTTCCTTTAAAATTCATGGCGGCATAATACGAAAGTCAATCAGCTTTTATTTGAATTAGTTACCAAGTGACCCCTGACCTTGCACATCTTCGTGTATCCGTATTAATTTAATATGTCAATAGATTTCCCTACACATTTTATCCAATCAAACCTTGGCAGTTATTTCCCTAAGAGGACCCACTTCAATTTTTGATGGCCAAACGTAAGTTTCCGAAGCATTTTTGAGTGCTGCTGTTTGGCAGTTCCTTTTCCAATTTTATGCAAATTTCTTGCTGTTGCTGTATTTTACGAGTTTTTTGGGTTCCTCGATGTCGATGTCGTCAAGTGGTAAATCACTTATTTGAATAAGTCAATTTCATTTCATTCCTTTCGTCCCTTTTTCCAGGGGCCCACATTAAACATCAATCTTTATGAGAGAAAAGGGATGGGAATGAGTTTTGGGAGCAGACTCAGCTGCAAAATAGTGAAAGCCGCTTTTGGGACGAAAATTCTATTAAAATATTTATGCAAATGCAAAATAAAAAAATCTACGAGCCAGCGACAACTGAAAAGCTCTCGATCTGCGCCCCCTTTTCCTCGCATTTTTCCTATTTTTCCATCCGCTTTTCCACAGCTACTGCTGCGTATCTGCGTGAAAAATGTTGAACAAACGATTTTCATAATCGATTTTCATGTCTGCGACGGCAAGGCTCAATGGCGGTTGAAAGGGAGGAGTTTCTGGGTGGAACGCTTGTCAACCTTTATCAAAAAAGGGACATGCAAGAGTCAGCGGGTTGGGGAAAACCCCGACCCACCCGAAAAGCCAAGGGAAAGCGGAGACAAATGCGATGTGCGTCTGTTGACAATATATCAACATGTGGCCAAGGACGGGCACAATCAGGCAAGGAAGTATCGGGGATATGCAAAAGACCAGCGACTTTCAGCATTTCCCCCAGCTTTTCCTTTAAGCTGCTCCAGTAGCCAGCGGAGGCGAACTGGGAAGGAGATTGAGTCCACTAGTATTTCCTACTTCGCAGGTCGCCAGAGCGCATCTAATCGATTCGCCTGAAGGATAAAAAGTGAAATAGGGAGCTAAGAGGAAAAGCTAAACTCTACTTTGCACGCAGAGAAAAAACAGGGCTTGGTTATTTCATTTAAAATAATTGTTAACGTCATCGTGTAGTTAAAAGAAAATATATCCATATTTAAAAACCGGTTGAGATCCTTTTTACAAACGTAAACGAAGGTCGTTTTATTCAAGATTTTCCTATTAACTATAAAATAATCGAGGAAAAAATATTGTTATTTTTGTTTCAAAGGTTTGTAAAAGTTAAATAGTTAAACTTTCAAAATGAGATACTGATTTTTTCCTTTGTGTAACCGGACTACAAGATATTGTTTTCTAGCCGTTGTTGCTTTTCTGTCCCCCAACTTCAACTACTCAATGGGCTTGTAACCCATTGAGTGGGTGTATCGCATGTGACAATAGTTGTGTGAACTTTACAGGACGAAGATTAAGGACCTGAGTGGGAAGGAGCCAAGAACCAAGGGAGCACGAGAGCAAGGGTGAAGTCAAGTGGGGAAAGTAAAGCTGGGGGAAAAAGGGGGACCGAGTCTCTGTGAGCCGACTTAAGGCTTAACAAGTGAGTGAGTGCCACCAGTTGGACTTTGCCGTCTGGCACTTGGCGAGTGTTTAAATCATGGCTTTCAGTCTGCTTTCTTCTTGAACTGCAGCTGCTGACGGGGCCAAAGGCCTCGGCTGAGTGATGGTTTGTTTTTTCACCAAAAGACCGTAAAAACTTTAAGAGATCTCTCATCAACGTTTTCATCCGACATTTGGGAATGCGGTGGCAAGCTATAGAATTGGAGTTATTTATGGCAAGTTCTAGAAAATAACGATTAAAGATAAAAATAAAATTGTAATGAATAACAAAGAAGCTCTTTAAAATAAAAATCCTTGTACGTTTAATTAAAAGTTCTTGTGATAGAAAATTCTATTATTTACATTTAAAACATAAATTACTTTTAAATAAATATTAATGTTAATTCAACTGAATTATTGTTGAATTTGGAAAAGTTAAATAAGATGGAGCTTTAAGTTTAAGTATCCATTATCGAAACCTTATATACCGCATCTGCCACCCCGAATTTCCTTTGGCCACCGTTAATTACCAAAAGCTGAATTTGAAGCTACATTTTGGCCGTTTATCTTTGACAGGCAACCGCAAGGAAGGCAGGATGAAAAACTGAGTCATCGCAGTAGGAGGCATTTCCATAGAATGTGTATTACATAATGAAACGCTGATAAATTAAACAGATTTGTTAGACGCCATCTCGCCTGTCGCCCTCGGCGATTTCCATCAGCCAACCGACCGACCGCCCCGTCCACAAAGACCACCCACCCAAAACCCAAAACCCCACTCCCCACCCCACCCCACCAAAAGTGTTACCTCCCATTTGGCCCCCTAATCCTTCTTGATTTCAGCTTAAGAAACCCACAGGACAGGACCGGGGATCCTTGTTAAGCTCGAGACCACATGCCGCGCGGCAAATGGCGATATTGGCTGGCGGTTTCAGTGGTTCCGGATGGGTGGTTTAGTGGGTTCGGCGGGTTTGGTGGGTTTGCCTGCAGCTAAGCTGATTGCGTTTCGTCAAAATTCTGATGTACGTTCGCGTGTATCGATTTGCACAAAGGCGTCCCTTTGAAGCGATATCCTTTCCGCTCCCCCTTTATCCCCTTTATCCCCTCTTTCTCATTTGTGGTTCTCCCTGCTTTAAGCTAAATGAAAGTGTATGATATTTCATTTAATTAAATCCTTTTTGATGTTTTTGTGAGCTGCTTCTGCGTGAAGGGGGAAAAAGCTCTTCTCGTATTAATTAAGTGCCCGATTTAATTAGAGGGGAGTGTTAAGGATACGCTTGAAGTGGATGTCCCTTCATTTTACTGCGTGTCAAAACGGAAGTAAAGAACTTCCCTCAACACTGTTCGTATCTAATGAAAATACTGTATTCCACTCACATTTTCCATTCATAATTTAACTAAAGAACAGCGGCAAAAAGTTAACCAAATAATAAAACAGCAAAACAATCAGAGAAATGTAAACTGATAACAAAAAATAAGAAAGAAAAAAATGTTGGTCACGTAACCTCCTTGTTTGCCAACTCCCACAAAAACCCAACAAGTTCGCTTCTCTGATTAAAAAGTTGAGCACGGGAATATTTTTGCATTATAGGCGAAAAGATCCTTTGGCAAGGACTTGCACTCGCCTTTGGGGTAATTTATAAGGCAAGCCACACAAACACTCGACGCGAAAACTCAACTCTCGACACGAATCGCCTTCCGTTCTTTCAGTTCTCTTCAGCGAGGTCTCTCCTCAAAATTTTACGCGCCTTGACTGCTAAAGTGGGCGGTGGGGGAGTGGTAAAAGGGGGGAAGGGGCGTGGCAGGACCTTTTCTCTTTTTTGGTCTTTGTCACAGTCAGGGACAACGACGTCTGCGTCTTTTGCATGTGCGGGGGAGTCCCCCGATGGAAGAATTCTAGAAATAAAGAGCGAGGTGGTGGCATTGTTAGCAGCCAGACTTGAATTACAAATTCAGCACAATGTCCTTTTGTCATTTATGCATTTCGCTGTATAAATTAAGCACAATGAATAGAAACGGCCGCAGGAGCTCTGGGCCTGTTTTTTCTTCTTTTTTTTTTAACTTTTAGTTCCTCCAGATAAAACTAGAGGTAAGCGGCGGCTGGAGATTAATAAGCCCAGGCCTGCGGTTTAGCATGCCCACATGAAAGTGGATTGGGATCCGTTGGTGACACTAGCAAAAAGCACAACACAGGATATCTTATCCTAGCTTAAATCAAGAAGAGCACGAGTTTTGGTTTCCATAAACATGAGATGCGAGATAAAAGTTTGAGCGGGAACTGCTTTGTTAGCTAGTTTGGAAGTTCATCAACAAGATGCATATCAACAGATAACAATTTGAATGCGAATGTGTCTGATTCTTTATGTTTCTCTATTTAGTTTAATCCAATGCTCAATTTTTGTGGGAAAAACATTTGGCGGTAAAATGTTCTTGTAGTATCTGTTTGTAAAAATACATTCGAAAAAATTATTATAAATGATGATAAGACATTTTCCAAATGTATTATTCATAAAAAAATTGTCCACATATTCTCTCAATTGAAAAACCCTAATGGCAATCTTTTTTATAAATTCTGAAATAGTTTGTCAACATTAGTTTATAATTTCAATACAGTTAGTGAACTCAAATTTTATAAAGTTGTATTTTTAAATTCTATTTAAAATTAAATTATATCTAATCTATTATAATCTATTATAATTAAACCTATTTAATTTATTTCCCTAATTTCAGGTGGCAGTGGCAGCGGCGGCGGAGGAGGCGGCGGGGGAGGCGGTGGCGGGGGCGGAGGGAGTGGCAGCTCGTCGGACGTATCGAGGGATCACTGCAACAAGACGGTGGACATTTTCGAGGACATCAGCTCGCCGGAGGTCAGCAACCAGAACGTGGGTCGACCTCTGACCTGCTGGTACCGCTTCCGAACTTTAAAGGGAGCGCCGCGCGACTTTGTGCTGCGATTGCGGTTCAAAAAATTCAAAGTGGGTCAGCTGCTAAACGCCACCCACTGCGACGGCGGCTATCTGCAGGTGGGTGTGGCCCGTGGCCGAGTCTTGATTTATATCCTCCGCATGTCGGGGCTAATTTATATCGCCGTGCAAAGCGATGACATATGCGACACACACGCGAGAATCGCTGACTGAATTGAGTTTTGCCCGCGTTCCCATTGTTGCAGATTGTTGATGGCAATGCCAAGACGGATGTCTCGAATCGCCGGGAGCCGGGAATGTTCTGCGGGGAGGCGGAACAGCCGCAGACATTCATCAGCGAGACGAGCTACGTTAAGGTCCTCTTCCATACGGACAACTTTACGGATCAGGTGAGCAGCCTTCCCGGACACTTTCTTTCATCGTCTCCTCATTCATTCTTGAGATCTCGGTGGGACTTTTCATTTTTCGTGCCCCAGCCAGTGGAGAATTCCAATTACTGACGGAGCAACAAAGCCAGGCATCCTTGAGTCCTACGGTCTGTTGTCTTCTGTCGCCAGAGTCTTGCCACTTACACTAATAAACAAAAGTCCCCTTGTCCTGCTTCCTTGCATATTTCTAGGGCTCCTAGATATGTATCAGCACTGAGAAAAATGAGTGCTGCATTTATTTTAGATCTTTAGAAAGGGAGCTTGGAATGCACTTACATGAAACTAAAAAGAGGTTGAGACCCATTCCCTTATGTAAAAATAATCTTAGAATTATTTTAAGACTTAAGCAAGAAATAAAATGTTTCAGTTTACGTAGTTCACATATTATCAAAGTTTTTTTTTAAATTGTTTTTTTTCTGCCATTTATTGTTTTAAAAATATTTATATAAAAGGTTTACTTAAGAAGAATATTGTATCTGCTAAAATACTTGTATTTTTGTTATTTTATTTTCGCATTTGCATTGCATATAGCCAGGGGGTTGTTTTCCTGTTTTTAGCTTAGAGCACCTCTTCCTTATTGTTTGCAGTGTGCGTATATAAATGTCTGTATATTTATATTTATCACATAATTTAAGGAAAATATTACAGCACACCCGTCTTGACTGCCTGTCTTCGCTCTTTTCACTCCTGCAGAAACCGAAACCCTCACCCTTTCCCCCGAAACCTTTCTCTCCCTTCAGCTTTCCCTTGAATGCCCCCATTTGGCTCCCTGTTGGCTTGGATGCTGCCATGTCCTGACCCATGTTGCTCTATCTGCTCGGCTGCATCTATGCAACTCACTTTCGCACTTAGCGAGAGTTATACACACAGATACTCAGATACTCGAGCATACTACGAGTATGTGTGTGTGTGTGCGAGTCCTGTTTTGTATTTTTTATCCTTACTTATATTTATTTTTCCCCTTTGCCGTATTTTTGCATGCATTATTCAGGAGTGGGCCGGGCGTCTATGGCGTGGGTGGACTGCACTGTTGTCTGGCCTCCGTCTGTCGTCGTGTCCTGTCTCCTGCATCCTTTTTGGCTGGCTGGCGCCGTCAGTCTCCTTCTGCCAAGATATATACACACTCCAGATTATATATATTAAAATATATGTATAGACGCATATCTATGTGAATTTTCAGTTCACAACTTGAATTCTATTTAGCTTTGCCCCCGTTCGCTTTTCGTTGGTATTTTCCCTCTGATTTTCTCCACTTATTTTTCTTGATTTTGTTTTTCTTTTTTGTCAACTGCTTGGCTGCTGCGTTTTTGATGCGGTATTTGCATTTATAAAATGAAAGATAAGTTCTTTATGTCACATAAAGAATTTCAATATTTATAATGGAGATTTTTTGCGCAGGCGGAAGGAAGACCCTTGAAAAATGCATGCCCTGTAAATGCTAACAGATGGGCGGAAATTATTCTCAAAAGAAATAAGACAATAAAGCTTGTTAAAAGGCGGGAAGTGATAGAAAAAGATAAAGCTTTTTTGCTGATTAACATTTATAAAGAGGGTGTGGTAACACAAATGCATTTGAAAGTAGTAGTAGTAGTTTGAATAAATATAATAAGGAACTGTGGGAACAATATTGTTTTTGTCCAAGAGATAAGTTAGCAAAAAATGAAATCCAATCCTTTTGTTATAATTTCTAGTAAACATACCGCATAGAATTTGCACATGGCAATCGCCAAACCAATTTTGAATCGCCTCCGCTCCATCATAATGGCATAACCTTCAAATCAGATCCGAATGTATATCCATAACTCCATTCCAGCCATTCCGTTTTTCATTCAATCCGAAAGTCAAATAGTTACCCCCGAGTCCTCTTTTCGCAGTGCGTAGTCAATGCAGGCGATTGGCTTTATGGCCCGGCTTACAACAAGTTGCAGGGATGTGCAAACACAAACAACCGACTAAAGCCATGAATGAGTGCTCCGAGCTCCGGAGCAGACAAAACGGAGGGGGCAGCGGAGGGGGATGGCGGTGTTGGTGTTGGGGGAGGTCCTCTGGCAGGACACCCTCCAGAGTGTGTCTTATGCACACCTTAATGGAGTCATAAATATTTATGAAAACTCTCCAAGCTCGCTGGAAGTTGCAAGTTGAAAGTTGGCGGATGCTGCGCTTTGTGTTATGTTTTTTTTCTTTTTTGCCGACTTTTTTGTTTTTCGCCAAGCAGACGGGAACTTTTTTTGCCACTTATTCGGCGCAAGTGCGTCGGATCGGCGGGGCAAACGGGGCATTCATTCAGTAATAAATAAAAATAAGCGACAGCTCTGGCAATGTAATAACACGATATAATGAGGCAAAAGCATCGCCCAGTCGCGCGGCAGAGGAAACGAAATAATTTTCGCATTCGCATTAACATAAATTCCATGCGAAATAAATCAAATATAATTTCACAAAAACGAGACGCCAAAGAGCAGGCGGCAACAAATCAGTTTGAAATTTTAATTTATTCGAGCGCGAATTTGTCAGGACATTAACGGGGGAAACGACCGTGGACATCATCGGTATCATCTCCACCGCCATCGTTATTATCGCCATAATCATGCGAATAGGGATCAACGGAGCTCCACTTATGAAATTATTCGATGCACTCAAAAGCTGCACACAAAAAAGTTCAATATTTGTTCTAATGGAATTAGGTGGGGAATCTAAATACCAGTTTTTGTTTTTATATAGTAAAAATAAAATTTAGTTAAAGTTTTGTGTATTTTGTACTTTATATATTTACATTTATTATTTTATATATTTAAATTTACTGTTTTCTTTAAGTAAAAATTAATATTTTAAGTTATTTATTTGTTATGACAAATGATTTTTAAATCATATGCAGTTGACTTCAAGCCAAAGAGTTTTCCGTAATATTTTCCCGAGTGTAATCTCCAATATATGGGTATCTATAGACGAGGACAGAAGGCTGCAGCTTTGGGATATATATTTTGGGGTGGCTGGGGCGGATGGACGGGCGGGTATCCACGTGAGCAGCATCTGGATAAATCGAAACGAGCCTGCGTCTGCCATTGTTCACATCGTTAAGTGGCGCTAACGTCATTGACGCCGGTAACGCATTTAATATTGACATGTGCATTACGCCCATCCCATCCCCTCTCACCCCAAACCAATTCCGCTCCCCGTTTCCCCAATCCCCAATCCCCAGTCTCCCCGCTCGAAAGACCCCAATGGAAAATGGCCAACGAGGTTTATGTGCGGCCATCAAGGCCGGTGGAGCGATTTTGGGAACGGGGTGCATTGATAACCATGACGTTGACTTTGTGGCAGGTGGAAGTGGGCGGGCATAAGGAAATCGCTTTTGCGGCTGTCTGTCGATAATTTCGACTTCGATATCCGTAATTGAAATGAATGTTTTTTGGGGATGGCGCTGCATGAATTCGATTAGCAACCAAATCGAATCAAAGCTCACAAATTGGCAATAATCATTGCTTTTGTTTGGCTTATCGAATTGGCAAGCGTTGTGGAACAAATCGCAATTGCCAATTTGAATTTTTAGTGTATTATAATGCTGAATTATCACCTATGGATAATTGTGCAGCTTTGTGAATTTTTAAGTATATTTATCGTTTTATTAAAAATACAGATACAGATAACTTTTTGTTGTGCGGAGAAGTTATAATTTAATGTTAATTTAAATATCAATGTGTATTTAAATTTTGAAATGAAGTTAACAGAGAGGCGTGTTTGTTTTATTTGATTAATAAAAACTTTATTTGTTAAACAATGTTCAAAATTGGTTTTGTCGTTTGTTATAAAAATTTGCATATTAAACTTTGTTTTGAGAGACTTTTTAATTATATTCTGACAAACTTAAAGGGTACTTTATTTTTTTAACTAAATAACTAAAGGGCTACATAATAAGGGAGTTGCTTTGTTAGTTTTTTTTTCGTCTTTATTATACTGCAAATTATTTTTTGTGGCATCTGAGTTCGTTACCCGTTTGCAACCCCAACATTTTTTCCATTCCGCCTTCATTTCATTTGGCCATTTTCAGGTGGGGTGGGGCGTTTGTGCGGTTCTGAGGTTCTGAGGTGAAGAAGGTGTGGCAGCTGCCTACGTCACTGCAGCACGTCATTAGCGCTGATGAGGCAACCGTTGCAAGGGAACAAACGGGCAAACAGGATGGCAGGCAGGCAGGCAGGCTCGGGGAAAACCTTCGGTCTTTGCGAGGGCGTGGGCGGCAGGGCAAATGACATTGCACATTTCCATGTGGCAGGGCATGGAATGAAAAGCGGGCGGAAAATGGGGGCGGGGTCAGGTTGAAACACGCAATTGTCTGACGACGAGCCAAGCAGGAGGGAAATTGACAAAATTCATCAGCAACAATGCCGGGGGCGGAGTGAAAATACGGGGGATCACACTGCGTATACGTGATTTTTCTGCCATTGTCCACTCATACAGCTCTTTTTCCCCTATCTCTCCCTTTTTGCAGACCTACTTCACATTCGATTCACGCGCGGAACAACAAACCGAAGTCTATCTGCGATATGGCCAACATCCGGAATTATATCCAAATCGTCGCGGCGAAGTTGTCCAAGGGTGAGTAAATGGCTTACCGAAAACGGGTAATCGAATGGGTTTCCAAAGAGTCCCCTCGTTTTTTTTCTGGCTGGGCTTTTGGGATTTCATTCTTTTATAACCCGGACCGGCGTTAATTCAATTTTATTACAGAAATATTGAGCTAGGGCGGGGAGGGGGCACATTTTTGACGAGCCACTTCAGACGAGAGGTCCTTGTCTTCGATTCGCTGGCGCATTTCATAATCATACACGAGTCAGAGAACAGCGGAGAAAATCCGGCAACAGAAGGTCGCATTAAATTGAATTACTTGTGCTTTCTGCACTGCGGCAAACATAAAATTCGCGAGCGGGGAAACGGGGGGGTTTTTCGCCTAAAGGATGGCTGAAAAAGTCGGCGATTGAAACCAAAGAAAGGAATTCATTTCGTCGGGCAACTCCCGCTCCCGAAATCCTGACAAAAATAAAACTTTGCAGACATTAAATTTTATTTGATTCTCTCTTTTCGGAGTTTCCATTTTTTCTTTTGGACCTGGCAGTCTAACTTTTATCTTAATAAAATAAGTTGCAAGTTTTAAGCAAAGATTCGGCTGCAAGTAACGAGGCGAGGGGAAATATGCTAGATTTACTCAGATGATATTTGTGCATATGCACGCAGATGGCTTGGGGAGGCAAAAGTCTGCGAATACAAAGTTTCCCAAGTAGGCTTTTTTCGCAAATAACTTGCACTGCCAGATAATACTTGAAAAGTGTGGGAGAAATGAACAAAATCCAGTGAGAAGTGAAATTGTTAAAGCTGTTGGTAATTTCTTTTTAAATTGTTTCAATAAAATATAAAATTGATAAATAGGGTAACTTGAAGGAATATAAGCTTTAAGGTTTGTTATTTGATATTAGAGTAAAATATTACCGTGACTCCGTTACCTAATTTGATATTGCCTCATCTTTTGAGGACCTTCACTGGCATTTAAACCAGATCTTGCGCCAATATTTGCCAGCTTTAACTGGCATCAAGAGCTAGCTCTCCCATCAAGAGCGTCCTCGAGGACCTCCTCCATTGGGAGCGGTGAAAATCCGACTCTCCATCACCCACATGGCCAATATGATTTTTATGCTAATTTTGCGGTCACGCGCGCATCGACACCAAAGCCAAAACCCCAAACGCAATTGAGGAGCCAAACCAAAGCAAATTGCCAAAGACAACGAGTAGAGGAATGGGTATAAAAAAGGACGAGATTGAAGGGAAGAAGAAATAAAAATGGTAATCATATTTACGCTAGCCTCGCCTTTGAATGGTTTTCCGTTTGTTTTACTTAAACAAATTGAAAATTATACGCACCAAACTCCGAAGGAATGAAAATTTTACACAATCTTTTGTTGTAATTTAACAACAAATTTACAAGCTCGAAAAAAGCGAACGTTTGGTGGCAGAGAAACGTTGGGAGCGAGTGAAACAGAAATTTCCAAATCAGTGAACACAATTTTCTGGCTTCCTTGACGCAGTTAAAGGACTGGGCAAACGAACCCAAAAAGTTCTATGGATCATTTAGGACGCCTTCTGTTGTGAACATTTATCGGGGGGTTCGAGTGATGTAACCAATTTGAAACAAATTAAATTAAATATTTCCATGCCTGTAATTCGATGATTTGATAAATATATATATTTTTTTCTTTTGTAATCAGATCTTATTGCGAGAGGGAGTATCGGGATTGTCGCCTGCAAACCTGCTATGTTCAATCGCCCGCATATCCCGGTCTATATCCTCGGGCCCTGAATTGTCGCTATAAGTTGCACACCCGCCAGCCGTATATTAAATTGTATCTGCAGAATGAACAATTTGCGGTTGATGGCCAAAGGTAAGTTGCGTATCTAAATAGTATAGATATAATAGCTATTTAACAATGGGTTTTCATCGTTCATAATTTTATTATTAATTATACGTTTATGTTAATTTATGTGGTTAAAATCAAATTAGAAACACAATACAAAAACATAAAATAATCTCCATGATAGAAATATAATTTAAATGGCATTTAACCTTTTTGCCTTGCCATCAAAGAAAATTATTTGTCCATCAGCAGCAGTTGAAAAAAGTATACGTTGTTTATGCAAATGTATTTCACCTCCATTTATCCTCGCTTTTTTGCTGGGCACGAAATTAGTGTTAAATGCAACACCCTGTAATTTGTCATTTTGGCACGGCGATTGCACAATCCCCACAAATTCAGGACATTTGGCCCAAAAACTTTGCTGTTGCCACCGGTCGTGTTGTTGTAATGCATTTGGCATGCTGACAATGACAATTTGACAGAGCGCTCGTCGCAAAAATTGGCACCAATTTGCTGGAAAACGTTGGCGACATGTCCTCGGATTGCATTTGCCGTATCTGTATGCGTCACTTTCTGAATCAGATTCAGAATCTGTATCTGCGACTCTGTCCGTCTCAGCGAAAAATTGGGGAAAATTGGCTAAAGGATTACGTTTTGAGTGAGGTTGCCCTCGATTGTGGCGAGACAGAGTGGAGAAAATGCTTGCCTCTGTGGCTGTCTTGTATTATTAATGCCAAAATGATGAAATCGTCTGAGGAGAGAAGCGATTTCGCCCTATCTCTCTTTTGACGCTTTAAATGTGCATAACTTAAAGTTATTTCATAGTTTTTGAGAATTTTGAATAACAGCTAACTTAAAAGGGAACGAAAAAAAGTTACTGGGAGAAAAAGTACAAAAAACTTGTATATTTGTGTAATATCTTAAAATTGATTCTTTAATTTAAATAGGGTTTTCGGTTTTGAATTTTAATAATTTTTAGTAGTAGTCCATCTTAAATTTTTTTTCTGCTCTGTTACCTTAAAAAGTTCTGTAGAAAACCTTTAACTTCAAACAAAGTGTTCCGTCTCAGTGATTGTCCCCAGGCCATTTAGGCAAACTCATTTTCAGGATTCCCTGCCAACCTTTTCGTCGGCTTAAATCAGAACTTTAATTTTTTATTACCCCCCGCTTCCACCTCCCAGGTGGGCATAATTTTCCCCTTGGAGCTCGGCTTTGTCGCGACGAATACAATTTACATTTGCTTAACCGAAATGACCTTTCACAAAATATTTGCTTTATCATGAACTCGGGGTAATGAGGGTGGGTCAAAGCTCCTTACCCTCCTTTCCGACCTCATCTCCCGATGGGGATTTAATGGTTGGGTGGCAAAAACCTTCAGCTTTTAACACTTTGCACATTCCCAGCACAAATGGCCGGCAGAAGTGGCCGAGTATCTTTAAGCCTGTTTGATGTGCAAATTCTGGAGTCAGCATATTTCCCTTTGGTCCGTCGATTCTAGGTCCCTATCTCAGCACGTACACATCAGGCAACGGCAAGTTGGAATTAGATAAGCAACATTCAATTTATTTTTATAGATTCAATTTGAATATTTACCTTTTGAAAAGTCCAATGGCAGGGACACAAGGATGAGAAGACGACAGACGCATGTCAAAGTTGCCAACTTTGAGATGGGTTTCCGACTGCCAAAAAAGAAGGGGGTGAAAAGTGGGTGGAAGTCGGGCTGAAATCCCCCTTTAAGTGTGTATTAATTTGCAAGTCTAAGTTACTTTCGGGCTGCAGGAAAGGATTAGACAAACAAGCCCGTTGCCAAGGAGCTAATCATGGTGGGAGTTTGCTTTCCAAATACCTTTCTGCTGATGAAAAGTAACTTAAATGCTGTGTGCTTGGGAATTATTTTTAAGGCTCACACAGAAAACGAATTTCCTAAGGAAAATAACTCTATTGAAGTTCATTCCAGCTAAAGAATTAAATTGTGGAAAGAAGCAATTACCTTAAGCTCTTGATACAACATAAAGTTACAGTATCAATAATCAAATATTGGAGTTTTTGCAAGCCTATACTTCCCCACATCTGAACAATAAATGTAATCCGCCTGAGCCTTGTATAAATCCGCCATAAATCCAGTTCATAAAACCCGACCTGTTCGGCTGCTTCGGTTTGAGCTCCCAAAATGGATGCCAAGTCAGCAGAAAGTTCGCTTTCGTGTTGCCGCTATTTTATAAATCACTTCAGTTTATTGCACAGCTCCTTTGGCTGTCAAAAAATACAACCCACAACAACATTCCTAATTTCTTTGGCTATACCAAAAATATTTCTGCCATCACAGCAGAAAAATTCAGTCGGCAAAACTTCGGCGGCCGGATGCCAAACAAATGCAAAAGTCATCGAGTAAAAAAGTTTTTTAATATGCCAAAATTATTACCAGTCAGTTGATGTTTTTTTCGCTCTGCTTTTCTTTCCTTTCCTCATTTTTTTTTTTTGATATGTGTGCTATGTTTGCGAAGGGGAAATAAAAGTTTTTCGCCCCTTTTTCCTCCTTCGGACTAAACAGTCATTTTCTCTGTCCCCTTCTTTGTAATCAACTTTCTGGCCAACAACGCATTTATTATCAATAAGTTGGATTAGCTCTTCGCAGACTCGGACAAAAACTTGCTGACAAAGTGATTAAATTGACTGAAACGGACCGACTAGCTAATAGAAATCTATCTATCTGCAGCGTATAGATGGATATAGATACAAAAGTTGGTCAAAAGTTTGTTTCCAAACTTTCTAGCGATTGGTCAGAAAATAAAGGAGGGGGAAAGAATGCAGAGAAAGCAGAAAGGTCCGATGGAACTGTCAATTAAATTGCTATTTTTGTTTCACTTGGCAAATCACATTCATCGGCCGCTGGCTTTGACTCACTGACTGGGTCTCTATTTGATTAAAGTTCAGTTGGTAATTGCCAAAGTTAGCTTTCAATTAGAAAGTTCTCACACACACACACACACCCACATATATATACAGACACACAGGTGAGAGGCGTTTCATTTGCCTTTTGAACTGCCCACCAATCAGTCTGCTCCGCCAGGGGGAAGTAAAATTGTGAATCGAAAAGGGAGACCGGGATTCCAAAGCCCGTCGCCGTGGCCATCATCAATGGCCGGGCACAAAGGTCACTTTGTCTGGTTGCCCGGTCCTTCGTCCAGGAGTCAGGGTTATGTGCCATTCGACCAGACTGCCAGCAAAAAAATTAAAAGCATCCTCGATCGTCTAACGCAAGAAATTAGAAAAGGCTTCAAAACAGACGCTTTGGATTTTCCGTTTTGCTTTTTTTCTCAATTTTTCTGTGAAAATTTTGTTTTTTTGCCCAACTTCCTCGGGCTGGCAAAGTGCAAATGAATGTCATGACCATGGGCGCCTGGGAGAGGATTGGCCCTTCTCCTTAGTTCACAAATCAATTATTCAAGTCCATCCTAAAAGCATTTTGAAGTACGAAATGTCAATGAATTGCTCTAAGTTTGGCTTAAAATGCTTACATATTATATTTGTTTTTGTTTTACTGAAAGTTTTTGATGTACAGAAATGATAACACTTATTCAGAAATAAGCTCTTTTGGCAGAATGTTACTTTTTGGTTTTTTATAGTGAAATTGTATTTATTTATTTTATGAAAAGAGGGCTAATTTCCTTTAATCCATTTTAATTTGAAACAGTTTTAAGATGCTTCAAACCTTATTTTAAGCTACTTAAATGAAAGGCTTCAATGCAATTAAAGCCAAGTCCCTCATATACTCGCATAAAAATCATTTTCCCCCACAAAATTCTCTTCAACTCGACCCCTTCTTTTTACAACGCCCCTGTTTCACCAACATTTTTTCACGGATTTCCGCCAGGCACTAAAAGCATCAGCACTCAGTCAGTTATTCAATTGCCAGCCTTACTCTTTATTCCCTTTTTTTTTTGAGCTTTTTATTTTCTTCGTTATTTGTGGAACGTGAGTTTTTTAATTGTTCAGTTTTTTCGCCATTTTTTTATTGAATTGTCGGCGTCGGATAAATTAAATTTATCCCTTCAACGCTTCCATAAATGTAACAAAGAAGCCAGCAATCAATGTGACTGAACGCCATCATTCCATTAATGCTGCTCTTGTTTTCAGATGTGAGAATGTGATGACCTGCCCGATAAGGCCAATTGGATCTGGTAATGAGCACTGTCCCTACGATTGGCTGGCGGTCTACGATGGCCGTGATGAGCACTCCCCGTTAATAGGAAAGTTCTGCGGCCTGGGAAAGTTTCCATTCAGCATTATTGGTGAGTAGAACGAATGGTCGACACCCAGAGCGCGCGCGAGTCCATCTAAACAATTTGCATATCCGGCAGGCACATCGCAGTACATGTACGTTGAGTTTGTGACATCGCCGGCGGGTCCGCTGCTCAATACGGGCTTCCATTTCAACGTTGGCAACTGGCCAGGCCACGTGGAGACGGCCGGCATAAAGCACGGCGTCTGCGACTGGCTCTTGAGCTCCGACTCGCTAAAGGACAGCAGCGCCAGCGAGGGCATCTTCCTCAGCATCGCCCACTGGTATCCGCCGAACACCTCCTGCAGCTACCACATCAAAGGACATGTCGGCGAAATTGTGCGCCTCTATTTCCCCAGGTAGGCATTACGAATTCCATGCATTTCCATCGAGCTTCGAGCATCCAGCATCCCTCGCAAATTGCCGTCGAATGTGTGTCGTATTAGCAGTTGAAGGACTCTCTTGTTTCCGTTGTGCAACTCGATTTAAAATTGAAGTATCTATTACATCAATTATGGGGTCACATCAAAAGAGTAGAGTGTAAATATAATTTACTGATTTTTAAAAACGTTTTCCATAGTGAGGTCATCTTTATTAAAATAAGGTTAAAGGCTTTAGTTAGATATCTCATCTGTAAATCTATTTTTATAACATTATTTGATGTTTTTCTAGGCAAATCACATTTTTAAAACTTACACCTAAATCAATTTTCTTTCGAAGACAGCTTCGATTGCAAGTTTCCAGATCATGCTCACCACTTCTAAAAAGAAAGTTTTAGACAAAGTTTTATTTTAATCAAAAATCAAATAAGTTACAAGTTCTTTTCTAAATTATCCTGTCTGCGAAAACATCCCCCCACGATGTCTCAAGATCGGGGTCACCACTTGCCATTCTGCATTTGCAAGTTTTTCCATTAAAATTTCCATTTTTGAACCAGTTAGACCGACAAGGACTATCCAAGTTGATCCCTCTCCACAGTCCGAAATCCGTTGGCCAGCCTTTTCGTTACAAGTGAAAAGTTTTGCGGCTATGTGGGCGATTTGCACTTGCTCCGTCGGATTCCATCCTCCTTTCTTTTCCTGGGACAATCCTCGGGATTTCCTCATTGCGTTCTATGCTGTAAGCGTATTTTAATGAAATTTTCCGCAAAGATTTATGTGACATTTTAATTTAACGTGTCGAGTTGGAGTTGTTCTTTGTGTGCATACCCGTACATAAATTCAAATATATATATCTATATGTATACATATATATTTTTACTTTGTTGCCGTTGCCGGCGTTGTTTGTGTCTGAAATTCTCGGAAAGTGTCTGAACTTTTTGGCCAAGTGTCGCATTGATTGTGCATTTCATTTGAGTATTTTCCACTGCATTTCGCCCTTGCCTGCGAAATATTTTATTGTGCTGCGGTTTTTGGCTTTGCATGGCGCTGCGAATGGTTGAGACTATGGCGAAGTTTTCCAGCTCCCTGACACTTTGAGGGCACATCAATGGTGAGAGGATAACAGGATAAATACGACAGTCTTTAAACTGAAATTATAGAGTGAGAAATGTGATTAAATAGTTGCGACCAAGTTTATCTTACATCTACATCTACCTTTATCTTATTATGATATCTATGTTCATATTTTTAATGAGTAAAATAATATTAATACAGGAACTTAAAGACAGAAAATATCAAATATTTTTTAGTAAAAACTTAACATGCATAAAATTTAACAAATGGATGTGGGTTAGCCTTGGTTCTTACGTTCAGCTGCCTTTTTTACCAAATTTGTCCTGTAATGTTGTCTCCCAAATCACACCGTTTTATGTCCTTCTGGTCTGTAATCTCAAGTCTGCCATTTACACAAGTTCGCTTCGAGTAATCCAGCTGCAATCGCAACGATTCTGGAGCAGCTCCTTTTTCGCCTGAAGAACCCAAACAACCGCTTGATGTTGCAGCCCTGTAATTTATGCAGAAATTGTTACCGAACATTGCCAAGTTTTTGCTGGAAAGGACTAAAGAAAACTATGTGTACAGGGCAAACATCACAACAGCACATAGGGAAAATGGAAAGATCAGGCGGAGAATGGGGAGTTTTAAAATATCAAGCAAGTTTTTGCCAAAAGATAAATATTTATGTCCACCTACAAAACGAGAAGTTCAGAAGGGAGCTTCCAGTAACCATCACAAGCCCCATTGTTGGTGGAAATTCGTACTGGAGGAAAAGTGGATGGGGTTTTTCAAGGGGGATGGAAAAGTGGGCGGTGGAAAAGTTGTGCGCACGTTTACACCGATTGCCATTAAGAGTTCAGAAGTGGGCAACATGATTGCGTGATTACAGTGCACAAAATGCAACCGAATAGGGTAAGCAATCGAAAGAGAGGGGGCAACATTTTGGCCGAAAGAGATGGCCAAGGCTACGTGGCCTTTTGGTTTAATTCTTTTTCCTCCCTTTTTTTTTTGGAAAAGTTCAAAGTAGACGAAAATGCAATGGGAAACTGTGTTCGGTTCACACACCCGCAACATTTTTCCTACTTTCCTGGCCAAGTTTGTGTCCTTGTGGTTGTTGTTATTGCCATTGTTGTTGTGGTTGTTTTGGGTTGTTTTGGGTTTGTTGTTTCAGCCAACTTCACTCAAGTTGCAGCCGAACCAACAACAACAGAGGAAATAAGAATATATCAAAACGGAAACTTAAAATACCCTTAAAATTAAGATATATTCTAACACCAGTATATTAGTTTTTGTATTTTAAGGGAAAATCAAGTAAGGTTTTTTTTTACATTATTTCTATTACGTTATAAAAAGAAACAGATAAAAGACAATTAAAATTAAATAAAATTAAATTAAATTAAGGAAATTAAAAATAAATTTAAATAAATATTTATTTATTATTTAATATGTTAAAATGAGTTATGCTTTACATGTCCTGCTTCAGTACGCATCTGATATGTTTATTATTTTTAAATTTGCTTGTTTTTACAGATAATTTTTTTACTGTAGAGCTTGTAACATCCTTCAACGAAGTTGCAAACTTCGAAGCAAATTATTATATACGCTGCAAGAGTGTTCCCATGAAAGCATCCCATTCGGAGGGTTTTTTCTCGCAGTCCTCTTCGTAACTGTCAGTTTACATTTACCTCGAATACCTTCCTCCATTTGGCCCCCCCTCCCCAAAAAAGCACACCTACCGCCCACTCACCCACAAAAGTGAGTAGGAGCTGTTGTCCTGCTGCCTGTCGCAGGAGTCTCGAGTCCCGAGTCTAGACGCTGTCGACATTGTTTCCAACAAAGTTGCTCATTTAAGTAACATGTCATGGCTTTGCTTTCGGCTTCTCCACTCCTCTCACCGCTTTTTGTTTGCCCGGTCTTTGTCTACCAGCTATCTGGTAGGATTTTTTTCCGAGTGAGCTGACCAGATGTTGAACTACTCCTTGAGTATATTGCACTTAAGTTTTCCGCTCGGCAGTGCGGGCATGGATAAGCAATCCATTTGCTTGTGCAGAGCACACACTTTTCCCAATAATGTTGTGAATGGTCGAGGGAGTTGCCCGTGTTCTAGTCTTACTAGCTACTAACAACTCATCAGCGTCTGCTTTAGTGCTCCATTATCCGATACATTGTGTTACTATTGTCTATTAATGTCCACTATCATTTGCGACCTGCCATCTAACTTCGTTCTTACCCTGCGACGAAATGAAGAAAAATTGCATCAGATGAAATTACAAAATTACAACTTACTATTATTTTGTTTTACCTTTTTCAAGTTGTTCAGGGCTTTGTATCCTTTAATAAAATCCCACTAGTTTCCCAACCAACCCTCGGCAATCACCCATATATCGGTAATAAAATCAATTTTAGGTATCTGCTACTTTTTTATCCTACTACCGTTTAGAGGCCTCTCTAGGATATTGGTGTTTGGGAAAAAAAGTAACCAAAATCCGCTTGAAATGCACAAGACATGTCGCATACTTGGGCTATTTATAAGCCTTATGGCCACATAAACTGACGCTCTGGGCTTTTGGCCACGGCACCAATCGACTCCCGTATGCACATAACCAGGCTAACCAGTTGACAACAATTCCCCGCAACCCCTCATCCCTCAGCCACCCAACCTCATCCCCCAAATAAACCCGCCCACTGAGTCAGCATAACGGAATATTCGGACTGGGAGTTCGAAACTCGGGGTTACACTTTGAAAAACTATTTTCAAGTTATAGGATCTAAAAGTAAAATTTGTTTTTTTACATTTTCATTCAAAAATTGTAGGTTTTGTCAACAAATTTATAAATTATAGAAGGAAACTGCAAAGTATTTGTGTATATCAAGTTTTCTAGAATTTTGATAAAAATCTGACTCACAGATAATAATACAACAAATCTTTAGAAGCCTTTCGGTTGAATTTAGATTACACACTATATAACTTGAGATCTTAGCGAGCCATGAATTTCTCTCAGTGTTGAAACTGGAATTGGGCTAGGCTGCAAACGGATTACGAGGACATGCCGCAGGGTGTCGGGGCTTACTTTTCGACGACGCGTACGTGAATAACGCTATGGGCACGTCGAAAAGCGTCAAGGAGGGGGGATCGCGGGGAGAGGGGGGCCGAGGGGATATAGTTGGGTAAAAAAATAGTAACTCTGCTCCATTATGAATAGTGAGGGGCGAGACTCACGGGCATAAAAAACAAGAGCGAAACCAAATGAAATTTGTGCCACGCTGCTGCCTGCCAGCGACGTAGATTAGGGGCGTGGCTACCGCCCCACAATCCCCCACTACCCCCCTCCCCTCTTCCCCTTTTCCACCCTTCAAACTGCTGATGATGGTGATTTTTCTCGGCCCCCCTCGAAACCCACCGCCACTGCTTTTTTAGCCAACTTTGTGCGAGTTAATAAAATGTTGTATTATGTCATATTTTCGGATAGAGGCAAATGTAATTGCATAGAATGTATTCACCGCACACTGAATGGCAGTTATATAAAAAGGATATGCATGAAAACCTAAACAGGAGGTGAGTTATATAACCATTTTGTGGATTTTGTGGGATAAGTAACTGAGAGCGGTGAATGTTATTTTGCGACTCTGCAGTGGTGTGTGATCGGACTTTTTATTATGGCCAAAAATAAACACTTTTAGGGTTGAATAACTATTTGTGGACGCACTTTGCTGCATGAATATGGCTCTAATATTTTGGTGGAAAATTATATAAAAATATATTTATATGTGCTCTGGTTTTCTAGCTAAACATTACGGAAACTATATCCTTAAATATACTTTATAAATTATGCTGTGTTCATCTTTTGATTTCCGCTAACCCAAGTTGAATTTCTCCTCCCCAAAGTACTGCAGTCACATCAACTGCAAACGTAATGCAGGAAAACTGCAGAAAATTGGCCTTCCGCATCAACTCCTTTCAAATATCCTTGGCGCTCGCCCATCGTTTTCGCCAGCCTGCCACAAATAGTTTTGGAATGCAATTTGATGGGGGCCGAAATGCAACTCACATCGCGACCCCAAAAACCCAAACGAGGCTACGTGTGTGTGATAGACAGCCAAGGGGAAAGTGCCATTGGAGCGAGAGGGAGGGGGTTAGATTTACCTGTTGGCAGGTGGAATTTATATTAAATTGTAGGACCCAAAGACGCGACCAGAATTGCGGGTTGGCAAAGAGCCAGCAGTCGAGTAAAGTGTTCACCAGACGCGACCTAATATTTTGGTTGACACTGTTTCTCCAGCCGATGTATCGGTAATTTACCTATTATTTTACTAATCAAGTGTACATTTTAATGATATTGGATATTAGCTTAAGCTCGTCTTGAAATTACTTCCCAACGGATTATGTTATATATAAGAGCTTAAACAACATAATTGATTAAAATGTTTTTAAATAAAATAATTGAACATCAGTAAAATATCTTACTGTGATCCAAACTGCAACTTTAATCATAACATTTTTTTTAAATTAATTTATTTTTTTAAAACACATTTATATTTATAATATTTTTTCTTTATATTTTCAGTTTCCGCATCAATCGCATTGAATCGCCGATTTTGAAGTACGAAGGCGACTGCGGAGAATCCCTCACAATTTACGATTCGGATCACGCAGATCCTGCGAGGATTATTAAGACTTTTTGCGACACTTTCTCCCGACCAATGGAGAAAGTGGATTTCGTGAGCACCAGTCCCTCGCTGTACGTACAATTCGACTCGAAGACGGGCAGTTATAGTGGCAGCTCACTGTACTACTGGGCGCACTACGACTTCTTCAACAACACTCGATTTGGAGATCCAGTTCCGAATACCCTTTGCGATGAAGTGATGTATGCCTGGAAACATCCTGGCGGTCGTCTGCGATCGCCTTTGAATTCCCTAATTTTCAAGCGAACCGGAGGAAGTGATGTCCGCTGTCAGTATAAATTCGTGACCGATCGAAGACTATATGCCAGAGCTATAATCGAAGTGAATGCGGTGTCCTTCAAGGAACTTCCTTATAACAGTAATGCCTGCACTCGATGTCACGAGGAGCGAGTGGATAAGCTGGTGATTTGGGAGGAGCGAGATAAATACCAGAACAATCTGGCCTGCTTTTGCGATAATATCCCGCGAGCAGTGAGAGTTATATCGTCGGCGGATCAGATGAATCTCGAGATGATTGTTCAGGGTCAGCATGCTATAACTTCCTACTTCAAGAATCCGAACCCCCTGTTCGAAGCTACCTATGAGTTTGCCCATGGTCCTTTGTGTGGACCCATTACCCTTGGACCTTCGCCAGATGGCGAATTGGTGTTCCCCTATAAGAAAGCCTTGGCTATGGTTTCGGGACCCATGGCACCGCCAGAGCATCATTATCGCCGGGAAAAGTGCATCTGGGAACTGAAAGTGGCTGCCCAGCGAGATTTGTGGCTCAATTTGGAGAAGGCACGTTTTGCAGATCGCAGCTGCGAAAGTGCCAAGATAGAAGTTTATTTGGCAGGACGTTTGGAACCGCGATTTGTGGTCTGCCCGGAAAATATATCACTAGCCAGGGATTTACCTATACTGACTACAGCGGAATTGGGAGCCACGGGTGCTGATCAGGAACCTCTGCCTGTGCTCATCCAATATACCGGAGATGGTCAACCGGGTCGCAATATCTTCCGGTTGGTTTGGACGGAACTCTTCCACCTGCCTCGCAATCCCGATGGCAGTTTGGCTGCCTCACTTCTCCAGGATGGAGGCTGCGATTTCCGATGTCCTGGAGACACAGAAGTCTGCATTCCAAAGCATTTGATCTGCAATGGAGTAGCTAATTGTCCAAATGTGACGCATACTTCGACATTGTCGCAACTAACGCGACATATTGAGTGGAATCTGGAGCAATTGGGACTACTTCATCATGCTGGGGAATACCAGCAGTTGGTTCTCCATGATGAATCTCCGGAAATTTGCCTGAGACGCGATCTCAGTGAACTGCCATATGGAAAGTTGGCTTTAATTACATTGGGACTGTGTCTCATGTTTGCATTGCTTTTCGCGATTTTAAGACGGATGTGTAGAAGCACTTCCAAGCAGCAAGGAAGGCATCATCTGCAGGAGGATTACTAAGCATCACTAAGAGGCCATTTTACAGTGGTTTCTTTTTTAAGAGTTTATAAAACCAAAAAAGAGAGTATTGTGTAGCTTTTTAATAATTCATTTTTCTGAATTACAAGCTATTAGTTATTGACACTACCTATTTTTAAAGGAAATTAAAGCTATTGTATTAAAAAAAAATAAATTACGCAATGAAGTGTTGTTTAAAGTTATTTCGTTTCTTTGAGTGCACTGCCAAAAAGTTACACAAGCTCTTTAATTTTCCCTAAATTCCCCCTTTTGTATAACTTCAAAATTTAATAGATACTTCCACAAAACTATGTAAGTAGCTCTGCCCAGTCGAGTCTATAACTTTCGCTCTACGTGACATCTAACACACATTAATTAAAAACAATTGTACGATAAAAAACTATGAAAAAAACCCTCAAACATATAAATGTTTAAAAAACACACTCACACAAACCAAAAGAAATTAAAACTGCCCTGAATAAATTAATTAAAACATGGAAAATTGTCACGTGATAATTGTTGAAATAAAAAACGGAATACTTTAAAAGGCATAAAGAAACTAGATATTAATTAAGGTAGACAGGTAAAATGACAAAACCAAAATAAAGCCAAAACAAAGCAAACCTTTAATTCAAAGTAATAAGAATAATAAACAATTGTTGGTGGTTTTATTAGTTATTATAACGATAAGTACGAATACGTTGTACTATTGTTGGCAAATTGTCAAGCAAAACCAGGCGTATATACATACATATATACATGCATATGTATATAATGTACGATATACAATATATAGGGTATATTTTTTGCACATAGAATTACCTAGACCATAATTGAATAATGAACTTCCCCCATTAATTCCACAAATTGTGGCAGGTATTTTAAAATGAGGAAACCCAAGCGATAATCCCCTAAAAAATTGTAAATTGAAACCTTTAAATGGTTATAGTATTTAAGTCTAAATAGAAATGAGTTCATAAGAATTATGAAAGAAATTTTGTTCAAAAAAGTGTGGTAACAAAAATTGACCCTTGATTACCAGCTCCCCCACAAATATTGTTGACAGCAAAGTCCTTGCAAAGTCTTGAAAACCCCTGAAATTCTGCACCTTAAAGGTACAGTTGGTCCCCAACCACAATAGTTATGTAAAAACCCCATGGAAAGATATGGCCCTAAAATAAATGAAAGTTAATACCCACAATGAAATGGAAGAAAAAAAGAAAATTAGGACACATATTTTAGTGTACGTCAGAATTAAATGTATAAATAAAAGTGCGAAAATAAATAAAACGAGAAATTGGAAAACCGTTGATTTTGATTAGAGGGTTACTCCACACCGCGCAAGTTGGCAGCCCCCCAAAGAACCGTAAAATGCAGCTCTGTGTTAACTGGTTTCCCTCGAGGAAAGTCGTAAGGAGAGACGAAGAAAGAGCAAATGTCATCGAAAGCGAAAGCGAAAGGCGAAGAGGCCTGTGGGAACGCGAAAGAAAACCACCTCGTCGCCGATTTAAATGTCAGCGACCCCCGAACGCAAAAGCCTCGGACCTCTCAAATCCTGTCAAATAAATCGTGTCGAGCTGAGCAGAACGTCTGGAATCGGGCAACGCGAGTTAAATTGTGTAAATCTTTATACCCTAAATCTGGTCGAAAGTTCTTCACTGTCTTTCTTCGCGCTTCTTCCCTTGGTTTGGATACGCGATTGTTGTTTTTTCACCAGCATGGAAAGATTTGGAGTTCCACGAGGCAAACGCCCTCGAGTTCAAGTCTCAATGGATGACAAAGAGAAAGCTATTGCCCGAATTCGAGGTGGAGAAACCAAGGCCGGTATATCCAGGGAGCTTGGTGTTCCAGAATCCACAGTGCGCGGATGGGTCAAAAGAGCCGAACAGCGAATGGCTCGCGATGCCGCTGGCCAGTCGGGTAAGTTGGGGTTTCGACTACCCTAAAATGGGGTTAACCCTAAAAAAGTATTTCCCAACAGGTACCAACAACTATTCCTCAATTCTGGCCATGGCCTTGACCAAACCGCAGGTCACAATCAGTACAAAGGCGTCGCTTTCGTCTGTCAACTCAAAATTATGCCCTTCATCGCCTCCCTTGGCCTTGAAATCCCTGAAGCTGCCCCAAAAGCGAGATATTAATGGTCATTCTGTCCAGAATCCAGCAATGGCTCCCGTTTCCATACCCGTTCCCATTCCTGTGCCTTTTCCAGTGCCACCCACTATTTCCACCGACAGTCAGCAACAGATTATTGCATGGTTGCATATTTTCAATGCCGGTCTCCTGAATTTCACCCTGATCGCCACCGCTGCAGTGCTTCAGGCTCGTTCCCGTGGATTGGCGGATCGCCTGCCATTGTGGCAAATCATTACGGATTACGTTGACGAAGCCGGACGAACTGCGGCTGGAATTGGGGGTCAGTACCTTAAGGCAGCCCCTTCAACGCTCGTATCGAGTAAAACACAGTTGATGGGACCAACGAGTCCCAGGCACAGAATGATGCACGGGCGTCCTTTTCGTGGGAAACTAAAGAATCCTCCGGTCCACATCACAGCGGAAGATGACGAGGATGGTTCCACAGACGCCGAGTCGGAACAGTGATAAATACAGCAATTTTACTCTTTGAACGATTGGAATTTGAAAGCTGTTTATTAAATGTTAATTAAATATAATCATGGGACTTTCAAATCCAGATTATGTGGTACAAAAACCACAATTAGAAAGGTAAAAAAATGATTTAATACCAACGTTTTTTACATGATTTTAAATCAATAAAATTATGCAAATCTTTTGAATGTTTAAATTACCCTAGTTAAAGAAATGTGGTTGACAGCTGTTTAAGATTAAAGTTAAATTTAAATCGAGCTTTGCCTTTGTGCAAATAAATCTTGAGGAATTCGTTTTGCTTTATACTACACACAAGAATTAAATTCCGTGATAAATAAGTTACTTGTAATCATTATGTATCAATCAGATTGGCGATTGTGTGAATTTAATACGGGTTCTAAATCCCTCAGGCGGTTTCCACAGTAAGCATACACTGCAACCTGCATTTAGTCGGAGCGAAAAGCTCAACTCAATAGCCTTACCGATATGCAAATAAAATGAAACGCCAGTCCCTGTCAATGGGATTATGTTGTTTAAAGCAAATAATTGCATTTTAATTAGCAGCGAAATAAGTGCGATAATTGGCCAGGAGCCGGGAGTCTGGACTCGGAATTCTGGTCGAGAATCGGTGGGCGAGCTTTTCTGGGCATGGATGTGGCAGCGCAGTGAATGAATCAGATGCGGCTGGCTTTATTAACCATATTATTATTTCATTTCGATGCGTGTCATGCAAATTTCTGCAGCCGCTTTTGCCTTTGTTGCTGTCGGGTTCGCCTGCCTTTTGGCCGTGTCACGTAATTAAGCGGTTTTATTTGCGGCTTTGCCGCACATTAATTGGTCATGTTAAATGTAAAATTTCATTTTCGCACAAAAAAGCGAAACGTTTCCATAAATGAAATATATTTAATTTTGTTTTTCCGGCCCTGTCCGCATATTTCACCATTTATGAAAATTATTTTGTAGTGGATTATGGATGAACTCGACTGTGAACTGTAAACTGTTAGTTGTGTTTTGTCAGTTTGGCTGTCCGGTCGACTATTTTTGGATTTGTTATATTTCTCTTTTTGTGCATTTATCCTTGAGCGGGCCAATTAGTGTGTTGTGACAAAAGTAATTAGAAAAGTTGTCTACGCACCGGATGGTTATTCATTTATGCAGACCTTTTCATTTTTCACGCCCAGCACTCGGCACTGATTGAACTTTATTAAATCTGTTAAAGCTATCAAAATGTATCCGATTATTGTTAAGCAGTCAGAAAAGGAGTTACATAAAAACTATTAAAATGCAATATATATTTCAAATACCTTAATGGTCAATAAATGCCAAATGCGCTTACCAGCTTAAAATATGAAATTATATTTTTTTATGTAAAATGCATACATATTTTGTGATACTTTGATAACAGGTTTTAGGGTCAGAAATATAGCTCGGTCAAATAAAAAATGTAACAAATATTTTCAATATTTTTCTCTTAAAGGTATTAAATATCTGTTAAAAAGTGTAATCAATTTGAATGTAAAAACGTTTAAGTACAGTTTTTATACCAAATTAAAAGGAATCTAGTAAAATATGCGTTACTAAGACATAACTCAAATAAATTTATGTTAACTCTAATTGCAACCCAGTCAGAGAGCAGGCATTTCCATTTACCTTTCGCCCATCGCCAGGGACCGCATTAACTTGGCCAACATCCCGGCAATGCCAAACACCGCCCGCAAACTCAACCGCAGCAAACGGGCCGAACTAAGCCAGTGGAAATGGCCAAGGAACATGCCTCGCGATTATCCACACAGTTCATCGACGAGGGCGAGAGTGGCTTTAACATAAACTTTTTCCATTTTCCCTCCCTGGCCGTAAAAAATATGGATAAGGGACAGCGGGACTTTCGCCTTGGCCTCGATGCTAGGATGCGGAGATTTGTGCGCCTGCCTTTTCCGGATTTCTTTTGCGATTTTCCCAATCATTTTCGGCATTTTAATGCATGGCAGGGCGGAAAAGCCTACGAGGCAAAGTCGAAGGCTCCGGTCTTCGGCTCCTGGAAACGTGTATCAAAGTTGATTATCGTGGAATATTTTTCAGCATGGATTGAGCCAGAGATTTGTGCTTGTGGCCTGACCTGATTTGCGGCCCCAAAATCCTAAGCCTGGGGATTTGCGCCTAGATTGGCCTTCGCCTTCGCACCTGCTGTTCGTGCTATAACTTTGATGATGAACTTGTTGAGGGAAAGGTTGAAGTTCTTCGAGGGAAAATGCAACTTTAATGGCCACGCAAACAATAAACGCTTAATGGAACATGGCCAAAAAGATGCGGCGTTTGCAAGGTGCTAGAAATTGTGTGTTGAAACGGAAGCGGAAACGGAAATCATATGGCGAGCGGCACTCGAACACCCGCACACATCTGCAACTGCCATAAAGGTGCTTGGCTTTTATGTCCAGCGTGGCAAAGCGAGGGAAATCGAGGAAAAGCGAGGACCACCAGAGAACTTTCGCCTCTGCACACAAACCCAAAATAAACGCATTAGGTTTTGGAATTGGAATTGCGGTTGCAGCTGCCGGCAGAAGCCGAATGCCCAACAAGTCATAAATCAAACACGTTTAATTAAACTTTACGCACGGGGCTTCCCCCTGAAACCCGCTCTCCACTGAAGTCCTTCGTCCTTTTTGCTTTTCCCCCCGCAAGAAGCAGAAACTTTTTGACTTCGCACTAAGTAAAAATGCAATTAGAATTGCCAGACCAAAAGACTCGAATGGAAAGCGCCGATCTGTGGAAATGGCCACGCCCCTTCCGCCTTTTCCCGCCCCTCCTTTGACTTCTGGTCACGTGGCGGTACGTGCATAACGGTTACTTGCATTGGCGGAATTGTAAACTAGCCTCAAGCATACTTAAAGTTGAAGCACTGCGAAGGTGGTGCTATCACCTAAATGGCTGCAATTGCAACCAGCTGCTATTCGCTTTATTTAGGAAAAAATCACCAAAAAATGGTAATGGGTTTCGATTTCCAATTTAAAATAAAGTCGTTCTAGACTTGAAATATTTAAGGTTTCAAAATTAAAGAGAATAGAGATGGTTATTTTAAGAGTAACTTAATCAAATATTTGCTGATTTAATAATTTTAAATTTTAATTCTATTTTATTTTCTTATAATCTTAAAGACCAAGAACTGCAAGTTTTTTAAATGGAATCCCCATTAAATTTAACCCCCTTCGAGACACAAAAGGTTGGCATTTAATTTTTATAAATCCGCTTATATAATGAGTGTTTCTCAACTTCCTTCAGCTTTCTGCTTCCATTTCATTTGGCATTTCCCAAACGAGAGCCACAACTTGTTAAAAGCCGCACAAATGCACTGGCAGAAACTGTGAATTATGTGGCAAAATGTTTTCTCGCCACCTTCGCCTTGCAGTTATCACTCCGCACTCAGACCGCACCACCAACCAGATGAAACCATCCGACCACCCAACCTCCCAACCACCCACCGCCTGTCATTGCGAAGGAAATCACGCAATAAACTAGCGGCGAAAACAAAACTTAAACTACTTTTTCCGCTGGCCGCAGAAACTCAGTGGGAAAACTTTTTTGAAACAATACAATTTATATTTATGCGCAGAGGCGACGGCGATGACAAAGAGGGTTTCGGGTGGAAAATTGTTTGGGTAAGGGAAGGAAGGGGGAGGGGCGGTCGACTGACCCAGAAAATGGGCGGCAAAAGAAAATGCTGGCCAGCATTTTGGCAAAGAGCAAAGCGCCAAGGCAGGAGAGTTTATTTTAAGTGTTGAAAATAACTTGACCCACATTTGTGTGGTTCCACAGGACAGGACACCCCTTTTCCTCGTGTTGATAACTGTTTTTCCGACCCCGAAAATCCCCCGCAAGTCCTCGAAAAACTTGTCCATGTCCATTCGGAGGGCTCAATGTTGAACGAAGCTTAGTCCGAAACTATTGCCAAAACTTTATAACAAATTAATTGCATTTTAAGGGCATGCAAAAACCAGGGATGCACGAAATATTCAAATTTTCCTTCAACTCACTGGACTGTGATGTAATTTTCCAAATTCAAATGGGGACCCCGACTGCCCTCAACTAATTTTCGGTTTAAAGAGTTAAATGACATCATTAAAATTGAGTTAAGGTCCAACCACAATAATTCGTACATGATTTTGGAAGGGTAAATAAATATTTTACATTTCTTTACTTATTAATATATTTAATATTGAATTTTTAAGCAAAAATTTTTCTTTATAAAGTTCTACTATAATATTGTTTACTCTTAAAACAAATTTATCGAGCAAAGTTGCAAGTTAACTGGAAAACTCGAACGTCGACATGTTTTGCCTTTTTCATAATTTTCATTTCTGTTTATTACTGTCAAAGGGTTAATTACAGCAACCCAAATGGGGATTGAAAGTGGATTGTTTGCAAAATAAACTTACCCAGTTTGCTAATTAGTTACCAAAAGAAATCGTATTTGCTCTCGTTTTGTGGTTTCGGCCATGTCGCAATCACAATCCCAAGCACAGTTTGCAATCGATACACAAAACCTTGGCCAATTAACCCACTCCCGTCCCCATCTTCCCGAGGGGCGGGCCTAAACTAGTTCAGACCCAAAAACAATACAATCGGAGGATGAAGAAGTGGCAGATGTGAAGGAAGAATGATGAAGTAGGAGCTCATAATGACCCCAAATCCTTTCAGTCCAAATGAAAATTCCCCAGTCGTGCGTATAATTGGAATTAATACAAAAAGCAGCTGAGGAATATCGAACCACAAAAGACGGAATGGAGCAGGAGTTGGTTAAACAGTTGGATAGTTTTCTGGCCCGCAAGCCAGATTTAATGGCCAAATCCTGCTCGGGGCCTGACTTCCTGAGAGCTTGATTAAATTTCATTTGTTAGCCGACAAAGGGGATTCACTATATGACTATTGCACAAAAAATGCCAATCTTACACAAGACAAAAATATTCTTTCCAATTACAAGTATTCGATTTTCTGGATTAAGTTTTAATACAAAAATTATATGTATAATATTTTGTTTATTATCTTTATGGTACTTCCACCCTTTTTTCCAATTTTATAAAGTATGTTATACAATAAATGTGTTCCATAATTAAACATTATTAAAAATACCAATATGTTTAATATTAATTATTTAAATATAATATTTATAGGTTTGTTCAGTGTCATCGTGAGTTTCGATTTTGTGTACACTTATATAGAGTCAGTGGCCTTATTAAAAGTATATCGCCTTAGCTTTAGGGTGACTTAATATATTATGATTTTTGGCAACGCAAAAGTAGCTAAGCACAAATATATGTACATATTTGATTATGTATGTATATATAATCGATACGCCATCGGGACGTCTTGTGCTCCTTTTCGCTCTCATTAATTCATGTGAAAATACATTTGTGCTGTTGTTGTTTCTCCGCTGCGCTCGAAAATACAATTGATTAATGGATTTTAATATTTAATAACTGTTCTGGTGTGTGACGAACAGTAAAACACAATTAGGTTACACATTCCGAAGCTCTATAATAAAATGTTTCCGCGAAATTATCATTTATCACAAAACAATTTACTTTAATTTAATGACTTATTCCACTTTTTTCTTCAAATCAAATTGAACAAGTACCGAAACCTGAACGAGGACGTAGAAAAAATAAACCAAACTAGTTTGTTTATTAAAAACAAAAAGTCCACAGACTTTATAAGTTGCAGGATGACATCGTAAGTGATCGGAAAATAACTCCATCTAAAAAAAATAATAATTGGAATTGGCAATAAAATCAAATAAGAGTACATTACCTTCAATTGAAAATTTCTACTGACTAGCTCAAGATGACTAAATTCCCGCAAAAGGTTTCCCATTTTGAGGCCACTTCTTCGGGTCACATCATCAACAATATTCATCAGTAGAATTGCACTCCAATAATGGCAAATTATTCCACATATTGCTGTGAATTTTGTGATGTTTGACGCTGTTATGGATGTGTTGCCGAATTGTACGCCATGATAAACCAGATTTATATTTGTTACAAACATTTTAAGCAATAAAAGAGCGATTGGAATATCCAGTGTTTCAAAAACTTCACGGATCAGTCGTTGATTTCCGACATGTAGGCGGAAAAGATAATGTAGTTTGTCAAAGGCTATCTTGCTTTTTTCCTCTGATAAAACTAAGGAGTTACGCTCTTCGTGATTTAGGAGGGAACAGAGATCTTTTAAAGCTATTTGCATCCGATCACTCTGCCAGCGGAGAAATAAAAGGATGGCATATACACCTGCCATCATGTTAATTATATATATGTATTGAACAACATGTGCAATAATCATTGTAGTATTGTTAAAAGATCGATCCGTAGTGATTTTTACCATTATAAAAGCAGACACTAAAATATTTAAATTTGAGACAAAAAACATTTGAACAAGTAATCCTTGGGTTCTCTTCCACAAAGGTGTGTATTTCCTTGAATTGTTTTCCAGCCTTTTGCATTTTAGGCAATGATGAAATATGTTTTTTCCTAGTTTAAGGAGCCTTTTTCTTTTCAACCACATTACGCAATATCCCGAAAACACGGACATAATTCGGGTAATATTAGTTAGATTGAAGGCCCATTGAAGAAACGGATTTTGGCTCATATAGCTTTTGTCGTACATGTAATTGGGAAATGTGAAGGGCAGAAGAATCAAGAGAACCACATGCAGACATGCTGTATAAAGAATATACCATCTTTGCGAAGATCTAATAATAAACTTTCCATTTTCCAATAGAGCGGGCAGAAGCCCGCAAATTAATCCATATATGTAAAAGCACTTAAGTACCATGATGAGCAATAAGTTAAACCGGCGAAGGACGAACATCGACTGACCGACAACGAAAGGAAGCTCCATTATCCTGCCGGAAATCGGTGAACCTTATAAATCATAATTTTTTCATCAAGCCAAAGGGTTCGTTAACTAAATTACTATTTATTTAAGCCAGTTACCTTTCGACCTTAACTCCAACATGTTGCATCCGAAACTGAGTCGCGTGTTGAAAGTGATTTACTCCCATTCTGTAGTTTTTGCTCTGATGGGCACTACATTAAAGATACGGTCGTACAAGAAATCCATACGTTTGGATAAGCTTTCGTGGACTTACATAACTTACAGTTTATTTATTAGCACTTACATGCTTTCAAACAGTTATTTTATGGTACCTCAGGAGTTTCTAGATGGCTATATAAAAAATAACATAATCCTGCGGTGTAGCTTTTCTTTGATGGTGGGACTAGGATTTATGGAAATGGCAAGCTGTTACGGAACAATTTGGCTTAAACGCCAGGAAATCATTCAGTTCTACAAGAACTCGTTGAACTACTGGACCAGGTTTAAGATCCTTATGAAAACAACAGTGAATAAACAAGAACTCAAGGACTTGCAACTTTCGCTAGCAAGCAGAATGCGTAGAGAAATAATGGTGCTATATGGCGGTTTCGTATTCTCCACGGTGGTACAATACCAACTAGTAAGTGTATTGAACAATCGCACTATATTGGCTTTCGGTGCACGGATAACGCACATGCTACACTTCGTTGCAGTAAAAATGGGCTTCTATACCATACTCATACTGTTGGAGCACCAGTTTAAGGTCATCCATCTAGCTCTACATTTTATCGAAAAAGAGCAGAACAGAAAACAGTGGAAAATACTGAGTTCCATTGCTTCTTTTCACTTGGAAACTCTTCAGTTGGCCAGAAAAATATTTCGAGTGTACGATATTTCCAATGCCACGCTTTTTATTAACATGTTTACGTCCACAATAAATATCCTTTATCATGCGGTTCAGTTTGGCAATGAAAGCATTCAACATGATGGTTGGGGAGCTCTTTTTGGCAACGGACTGATCATTTTCAACATCTGGGGAACCCTCATGTTACTTAATACGCTGGAAAGAGCGGTGAGCTCATGTAATTACACTGGCGAGCAGCTAAAGCAGTTTAACGATCTGCCAATAACGAGCAAAAATTTTCAAAGGGAGGTGGGTACTGACTTCAAAAGTAAAATTCATTTCTTTAAAAATTGCTTTTATTCAGTTGGATAAATTTGCAACTCATCTAAGGAACAACCGATTGGTCTACAAAATCGTCGGACTTGTGGAACTGAACAAACCTGCCGGCCTCAGTTATATCGCCTCGATCTTTACCAACCTCATTATTCTTATGCAGTTTGATTTAAGACTGCCACAACAGCAAAACATTCATTAACAGTATATTAGTAATACTTAAGAAATTATATGTTTTATAATATATTATATATACCTTGATACCTCAATAAAAATTGTACCCTCTCTCTGCAAGCGTATAATAAATCTGCCCAAGCTTTTACCATAGAGCAAGTAAAATAATAGCGTTATGTTAACTTGATTTTTTATGGCTGCGATGCCATGAGCGCTATTTGATAACCAGATTATTTTCATTTGTTTTCGCAGGCAATGGGGCAACCTGGAACCCAGTTTTTACAAGAGAAAACTGTTAAATCTTAGCCATCAGTTTTTTAGGCAATCTAACAGATAAAATTTTACTTAAAAAAGAACAAATTTATAGTAAAATATATCTAGAATCTAAAAACCGCAAATTAATCCACATATATATTATATAATATACTCGTATGTGTGTGTTAAGTGTCATGATAAACAAACAGCTAAGCCTGCGAGGGACGACCATCGAAGCTCCGCTATCTTGCTGGAAATCGGAGAACCAGTCAACTAATCGCTTTCCCATCGTGTTGAAAGGTTCGTTAACCAAATTACTAATTTTCTGAGCTCTAAACTTAGCCAGTTTTATTTTGACCTTAAGTCCAACATGTTGCATCCGAAACTGGGTCGCGTATTGAAAGTGGTTTACTGCCATTCCGTAGTTTTTGCTCTGATGGGCACTACACTAAAAATGCGATCGTACAAGAAATCCATACTTTTGGACAAGCTCTCGTGGACTTATTTAACTTACAGTGTATTTATTTCCATCAGCGTGTTTGCATACAATTATTTTATGATGCATCAGAAGTTTCTAGATGGCTATGTGAAATTAAACACTGTGCTGCGGTTCAACTTTCTTATGATTTTTGTACTAGGATTTTTAGTAATGACAGGATGTTACGGAACAATTTGGATAAAACGCCAGGAAATCATTCAGCTTTACAAGAACTCGCTAAGTTACTGGACAAGGTTTAAAATCCTAATTAGGGCCACAGTCAATGAACAAGATCTCAAGGAATTGCAACTATCTCTGGCCAGAAGAATGATCAGGGAACTATTGGTACTCTATGGCAGTTTCGTGTTCTCATCGGTAGTGCAATGCCAACTGTTGACTGTTATCAACAAACACGTTCTAGTGACATTAGGTGCAAGGCTGACCCACATCTTGCACTTCGTTGCAATAAAAATGTCCTTCTATACCATACTCATACTGTTGGAGCACCAGTTCAAAGTAATCCATCTTGCACTAAGCTTTCTCCAAAAAAAAGCAAGATGGAAAACAATGGAAAACTTTGCGTTCGATTGCTTCCATTCACTTGGAAACTCTTCAGTTGGCCAGGAAAATATTTCGACTTTATGATATTGCCAATGCCACGCTGTTTATGAGCATGTTCATGTCCACAATGAATATCCTTTATCATTCCTACCTGTACAGCAATAACACAATCAAGCATGATGGTTGGGGATCTATTTTTGGCAACGGACTGATCACTTTCAACATCTGGGGAACCCTTATGCTCCTCAATACGCTGGAAAGAGCGGTGAGCTCATGCAATTGCACTGGCGAGCAGCTGAAGCAGTTTAACGATCTGCCAAAGATGACCAAAAATTTTCAACGAGAGGTAGGCTTTAGTCAAAAAATATATAAAATATTTTTTAATTTGTTTTCTTTTAGATGGAAGAATTTGCAACTCATCTTAGGACCAATCGTTTGGTTTACAAAATCTGCGGACTCGTGGAACTGAACAAACCTGCTGGCCTCAGTTATATCGCCTCGATCTTAACCAACCTCATTATCCTTATGCAGTTTGACTTAAGACTAAGATTATTATAAACAAAACTCTTTTTTAAATTTTATGTGTGGTGTAGAATCTATATTGCTCTGCGAAGCTTTATGAACTTTATATAATTATAGCACGTTAATTCACTCCTTGAAGCTTCAAGCACTTTCTTTCCCATAGAGCTTTTTCGATGTTTTCAAATGATTCCAATTCGAAACTTTGACTTATAGCGGATACGTAAGTTAGCTCTCCAAAATAAAGTCTCTTAAGTGTTTCAAGTAAATTTATAGCGTTAGATAAACTTGATTTTTTATGGCTGCGATGTTTATTATCCTTGCGCCGTGGACAAGCTGCTGGAGTTTTTACTGGGCGGATTGCAAAGAATGCGAATATAGTGGGTTACATTTTGAAAACAACGTTTGGAAGCGGTGCAACATTTTGAGCAAAGCTGCAGCAATTTTTATTAATCAATCTTTTTTATAAATTAAGCAAACGTAGGAAACTGCAAAGTTAATGTGTATACAAAACCAAAAACTGTTAAATCTTAGCCGTATATCTTGTAGGCAATCTGACAGAGGACCAACACATTGGTCAACACAGATCTTGTCATCTTATGCACCGTCGCGTTGTTCAAGTCGAAAAGGCCAAGGATATGAAGTCGTCTTACACGCTGCGGATTGGGCTGAAGTCTCCGATTGAGATACCAAAGCGAGAACTCCAACTAAATCAGAAAAAAGGTGTAGTTTTCAAGTAAAATAAATCTATAATAATTACCTGTCTAGAGAGTATTATTCCCTGACTGTATTTATGATTGTTTCCCGAAATATTGGCGTAAGAAAGTTTAACCACAAGGTTGCGAACCTCCAACCATTTAGTCCGATTGATTTCAAAAATGAAAAATTGCATCAAGATCTCGACGTGATAAACGAGAAATAGGACAGCGAAAAAGATTCCCTTCCCGATTTGAAAGTTTTTGTCAAATTCCAGATAAATCCACAGTCGAAACAGTGTGGCTATATTGAAAATATAAGTGGTAAGCAAATTAAGAAGTAACTGCCATTCGAAGATGTTCACAGTCTGCTTGAGGACCTTATCCAACTGGAGGCATTGCCTCCAAAGCTTTCGCCAAGCAGACGAAATTTGCCGTAAGCCCATCTCTCGAGGAATACCATTTCTTTTGGGCAAGGCTTCCAGATCCTGTATCATTTCTTGGACACTCTGGGACATGTTAACTACAAACCAATTCCCGGCCACCTGGATTATATAGATCGTCAGATCTACATAGCTCACCATTAGAATCATAATCCAAGAGTAAAATATGGCAGCCACGTTGTATGGTAACATAGCTTTCCTGAGCTTAAAGTCATTCTCACAACGAACCAAGGAATCTCGGAACACAAGTTGCTGTGTGAAAATTATAAATCGAGAACCTGTCAGAAAAACTTTCCACAGACATTTTTTTCTGCAATCCTTGTGTAAGGCAAAGCGAAATTTATGCAGCATTTCCATAAAATCGTTTCCTATCTGATGCAATCGACGTCTCTGTATCCAAACATTGCAGATAAGGAGCAGCATGGTCAGAAATTTGGACAAGCCAACCACATTGTAGACCGCACGGAACATACCAATTTGCGGACACTTGTAAAGATTGCCCGTTAGCAGGATCAGCGCAAATGGCAGGATCAAAATATATGCTATGTCCAGAATGGAACAGTATACCAAAGTGGGCACATGGTAAAGGCGAAACCTCTGAGTCCGGGAATCGTAGTGCAGGTTGCATAATCCTATCAAGCGACTCACTTCAAAATAAACCCGCAGGAGGTTGAGCTTAACCATGTTGCTAAAGTATTCAATAGGAACTAGTGTCAACCAGACGTTCCATATAAATATTTGTTTAAATAGCAGACTTAAATAAATCTCTAGGGAATTTAGTTTGTGGAAATTATAATAGGACATGCAACGGGGACCTTAGATATATAAAGTTAGTTACAGCAGACCAATGAATGTCTACTGATTTAATAACATTTAAAAATGGTATCCTATTTAGAAAATAATAATACGTAATACAAAATGATATACGAAATGATATAAAACAATGCAGACTTTTATAAATTTAAAAGTATAAAATATACTTTATTATTGTTGTTGGTAAAAAATTTAGAAAATCAAAAAAAAAAAAATCATAGTAATTGTATATAATAAATGACTAACCATCGGAAATAAAAATTGTAACAAACTAATTTAGATAAATTCAGTTTTTATAGAGTATTTAAAGTTCCAACTATTAAGTTCACACTACTTTGCCACATTTATAGGTATCACAAAAGAATCAAAAGTCGTATCTTAAAGTACTTATCTAAAAATGATTCATTTATTTCACTATCTTTCTTTTGCAATTTCAAGTTGTTTCCTCTAGACGTTGGCTCGTGTGTTTGGTTTGTTCTTATCAAAATACCGCTTGGTTGAATGGGGATCTTTGCTTATCTTTATAGGTAGTCGGTAGTTCGTTAAAATGTAAGCGTATGCAATAACTACCGCAACGAAATGATGATGCTGAAGCTTATTGTACCGAATCGAATCGTTCTCCTATGCGTTAACTAGAAACTAATTATAAATTCAAGCATATTATATAAAATCACACAACAATCTCTGATGCATTTTTTTTGCACTCGCTCTGACTTCGTTGTAAGTGGGTACACACTATATGGAATATACACGCAGATAATTTGATATCTAGATAATGGTGGATTGATTTTTGAAACCTATAACAAAAAAATATATCAAATAATAATAATCTTCAATGGATGGACTATCTTGTTTTAACTATGTAAAACTATTTCCGGTAGATATGAAATTTTTGACAGAAATAATGTCTTTGCTAACTGAAGTAAACTACATTTGGCCTTTATGGCTTCATCAGAATCAACCCACAATAATCTAGATAAATCTATGGTTAATTGTTAGGATGATTAACATTCCGTGTCTCATTTAGCACAATTGACTTCTACAGTTTGTAATTAACCCTTTGAATCTACGCCACAATGTGGCTGTTCTTGTTTAGATCGGTGAGCAGCTCGGCGTCAAGATCCTCCGCTTCCAGAAGGTCATTGCAGGCATCGCCGTTCAGCGAATGTGGAATGCTTGTAGATAGCACCATCCCCCGACCACCTCCGCTTCCCGTGCTAATCGAAATATCATCGGGCGGGGAATTGCGACGCCTCTCACGTTCTCTAACAATGTGCGGCGCCTCGTTGAACTCGTCCAACTCATCCATGCCTGCAGAGATATCAAAGATGTGAAATTCCGAAATCAACGGATGGATAAACCATACTCACCAGCATACTTGGTGCCTGCTAGCAGCAGATATTGACCCGCTCGATGAGGCCACAAGAGGCCGGTCATCACGCAATAGGCCATGCAGTCCGCCGAGTTGGTTATGCCCTGAAGCAACTTGTAACGCCACATGGGGCTGACCTGCAGCGCCACAATGGCCACGATGGGCAGGTAAATAAACCACACCAAACTGGAGGCGCCCAGGTGAAGCAGGAAATCCAGTTTCTTGGTCGAGTGCTCGTACTTCATTGTGTTGCGCAGTTCGTAAAGGAACCACATCATAAAGGAGGTGCTGTAAATGACCAGAATGTAAGTTACCTGGATTTTGATTAGTTGTTAATTTTAAAAACTTACCGTAGTATTAGGACTATCCAACCGGGCCAGGTTTGGTATTCGTCGATGTCGGAAACCACATCTACTTCCGTCTATAAAAGATTGATCTTAATTTTAGATTTGCGTTCATTACTTAATGATTTCTCATAACTCACCCTATCCCAGATGTAAAGAAACACATGAAATGCGCAATATGGCACCCAGATGGACATCAGGATAATCCAACCCGTTCTGCTTATTTGCTGCCTGGTTACAGCCCATCCTTTGGCCAACAGCAGCAGGATAAGCATGAAAGTGGTGCGGCTCAGAATGTCCAGAACATCTCCCGCCGCCTGTAGTTTTGGTTCGCCCACTCCGTTGGCCGCATAGTGAATCAGATGGGCGGTGATCAGAGCCAGACTAACGAATTCGCTTAGGAGACTCAGGGTGAATAACTTGGTCACTGGATGCTTCTGCCGCCGCACGGCATAAATTTGCATGGGCAGCAGCACTATATAGACGAGCATGAACACGAGGTACATCTCCAGCAGATTCTGCTGATCGTACGAGTACTGGTAGGTCAGTGGATGTGCGGCCGAGTTGTTTGGATGCAGGTTAACCAGGTTGATGTCGTAGTCGAGGGTATTGAGCAGGCTGCTGCTGAATTTACTGAATCTGGGCAAACTTTCGTGGGCGTGCCATTGGCAGGTGGTCTCGTTTTGATAGCAGGCCACCAAGGAGAGGTACCAAAATCTGTCGAATACATTTTTTTAAGTAAGAAAGGAACAAAGATCAATATCAGGTTTAATGTGTCAATAAGCAATACTTGTTTTCTCAATGAACGCTGATGTTTATATCATAAAGACAAACTTACTTAATTTACATAAACTAATGAACAATGGTGAATACTACGTGCATAGAATAAAAAACGTGTTTATTACTTCAGTCGTTTGAGTAAGCCGAATGCTTTGGATTTGCAGTTTTGCAGACTCGAATTCTATTTGCACAAATTAACTAACTATTGACTTTAATATTGTAATAGAAACTACAATAATTGCTAATGATGTATAATAATGCATGCAAAAAATTTACAAAATATATTGAGCCGTTTAGTTTAAATTATATATACAAAATCATGGCCTCACCTGGGTTCTGCTTCCAGGTTAATAACATATGTGAACTGTGATCCTGGAATGACGTTCGAGGGTGCATCTTCATCGCTGCAGAGCTGATTGACAGGACAGGGTACGTGACGCAAGAAGTCCCTCTTCGCTCGAGGATTACACTTGGAATCGTAGGCTATTCTTTGGAGGCGGGAGAACATTCCCATGCAGGCGGCTTCCCGGCTCCTCTGGCTGCGATTACCGTAGAACTCGAGGAAGGTGCTCCTGTCCAGAACGACGAGCGTCAAAGGAGCAGCATATTTGTCCTTTGATGTTATATTGCCGTAAATGTATCCAAAGGCATTTCGCCGTGTGGGATCCGCCTTGTTGAAGCCGAACTTGACGAGGAACTGGAAGAAATCGCCCGTCTGGAACTGTCCGCTGATGTGGGTGGCATTCCCCGAGGGCAGGGTAATCGTGATAATGGCAAGGATTAATCCTATAAGTAGTATTCTGCGACTTGTGGACCCTTCACTTCTTATCAGTAGTTGTTTGTATGCAGCCTCCTCTTCTTCTTCGCTGGGAATCCTCCGCCTACTGGACACCAGCTCGTCCATATCGGTTGCCTCGTTGGCACCGCCCACTTGCCAAGGTGGCGCCCCTTTGTGCATCGCTTGCAAGTTGGCACAAGTCTATTTTTATTTTGGTTTTGCGGAAATTTCCACAAATCCGCAGCCCAGTTGTTGTTGTTGCCGTTTCACTCCACCTTCAGTGTGACCGCGCTGGGGCAGCAAAAAAATGCGACTTTACTTTCTAACTTTACAAAACATACCAAAAAACGGAAAAATCTCGATTAAATAAAATCTGAAAATAGAAAAAAACATGGAGTTAATTTTGGATTTGTTAAACAAAAAAATAGGTAATAATATAATAGGTAATATAATAATAATTTTTTTTAGTTTGGTCAGAAAAAAAAATAAGCAACAGCAGCAACATTACGACATCTATCGTTGTCTAATGAAAAAATTGTTCCTTCAGTAATTCAAATATATTTACAATTTTGTTTAAAAGAACAAAAATTTATTTGGTTTTTTAAATTAAAATTTGAGCGCGTTTTTTTAATATTTTATGTACATGAGGAGCTGAGATCTAAAAACCGCGTAGTTGTAGTCGAGACACTCACCTTTAAAGAGGTCTAAAAGCAAGGACACACAGTATTCTATTGGGGGCATATCTTTTTCTTATTGGGATTAATCCTCAAACTCAAAATGCAGAGCTTCTTTTTAAGAAAGTTTTCAAAAAAAACTTTAACTTAAAACCACATCTTTCTAAATTGAGGATTTTATCCCTTTCTAAATTTTTGATGACAACATTTATTCCTGTTTGTTTTCATTAACATTTTAATGTTAGTGTTGGCATTCTTATCATAAAATATAAATATGTAGGTACATATACAGTTAATAACAGTTAACGTCAAAATTTGGAAAAAAAGAAAAACTTAATGTTAAAGAACCAATTTTCTTGGGCACCAAAAACTTTCAACATTTTTATTTAACTTACTTAAGGATTGATTCCCAAGTGAATGTTGTGCCATAAAGGGTCATCTTAAGGATTAAGGAACAATAGAGGTCTTTAGCCGTTTCCCAATCTATTTTTTTACACTTTCATATTTTTAAGCTCTCCTTCTCTTTTATCCTATTTTTGCCAATGGCAATTTCAACAATAAATTTCAATAATTCTTAAATTTATGCGGTGAAATGTGTTGCTACCCTTTTTGGCTAAAAACTTCAAAGTGGAAAGTTGGGGAGACGTATTACCAAGCTCCCAAACTCCGCACCCCAAACTCAGTGCGAATCCCTTTCGCTTATTCATTTTAAATGCAGCCAGCGGTGGCGAGAATATTCTCCCGTGGATTGTGGTTTTCCACGCCCCCTTTTCCATTTCCACCAGGAGGTGTAGAAAAAAACACACACATTGACAATTCCTTTGAGATTTGATTGCAGGAGGGAGACGACAATAGACTGTGCGAAAGGAAGGCTGCGGTTTTGCATAAAAAATATGAAGCCATTGAAATGTAGATTTCTCTTTTGTGATGTATGTAGATGAAAACTTTGATTCCTGGACCAGATCAATCGAGGATTACATCAAGTAATATTTCCCCCCTTACCCGTTGACCCAGTTATTCGACCATTTCTCGCTCATTTATTGATGACGACGCAAAATCTAAAAGAAATTTCAGAATGAGCAGCATAAATTCATGAGCTTTCTTAACTATAGTGTTTGGCATTTGTTGACAGTCCACAGTTCACTCAGTTGTGCAAAAGTCAAGACAAATACAAGAAATAAGATTGTTAGGGGAGTTTCATCTTACTTTATGAAGTACAGTCAAACTTCCCTAGTCGAAACTACAATGATACATTTTTTTTTTTGAAATTCAAAGTGAAGTAATATCCATTTGATTTATATATTTACGTTTGAATAAAATCCCAAATATATTTAGGGTATCGGTTTTGTTCTTATTATTTGAACTCCACTAAAAATCCTTATGAAATTTGACTGTACATATTACCAAACAAACAAAGGCTGGAGAAACACAAGTTGCCCCATCCAAATAATTCGCCAAATATTAAGCACACATAACATGTGAACAAGACGAAAAGTTCATTTCAATGTCTGCCGAAGACCCCAAATAACAAAATCCGACAAGGTTGGCAAAAATACAAAAGGAGCGCAATTGGTCGTCCTTTTCTGACAGGCTTCCCCCTCATATTTTCACTCCCCTCTCTTATTCTTTTCGATTCTAGAGGAAAACAGTTCATTGAAATGCCGGCGACGAAACATGGACAATGAAGGTTCAATGATGATGAGGTGAAAAAATTGGGGAGTTCCAGTATGATTTTCGCCAACTTTGCACAAAGTGTATTTTATTTTTGATTAGGCCGGCGCGACTGTTTATGTTTGGCCAATAAAAAGATTTTTGAGTAGTCGGCGTGATTAGACAGATACAAAGTGTGGGAATCTATCCGATAGACAGACAATACAAGTGTCTTTTGTAAAAATTGAATGGATGTATTACAACTTAAAGTTGCTGTTCAGAAAAAACATATTTTTAGATAATTTTCAAGAATACTATTGGAGAAACCCAACAGACTGAAAAAAATAGTATCTTTTAATATTTTAAAGATACAAAAATGTATTAAACATACCTTGCTTTAAAGAATATGTTGTTGTCATTTAAAATTTTTTTTTTGCTTAACAGCTGAAACATAAAATTTTTCTCAGTGAAATATTTGCCTCGATCTAGATGGCTCTTGATAAAGTTTCTCTGACGTAACTTTTTATCGCTTCAAACGGCATTTAATAAAAGCAACATTTGGTTTGTATATTTCATTCAACCGGCTTTTAGATTTTACCATCTTTTATTTTGTAGTTATGGATTCGCCGGACAACAGATGGTACATGTGCACCCACTGTTTTCAAAGATGTCTTTGGAGGGATCTTTCGGCGGAGGAACACCGATGTTCTCGCTGCCGATTGCCACTCAAAATGTGTGCGATTTGCGACAGGAAATTCGAGCCGCGAGATAAGTCGCATTCCTACTGCAAACGTTGTGATTTTTACATACTCAAACACGCTGCCGTGAAACCTCCTCCAATAGAGGAGAGTCAAAAAGAACGAAAGGATCTCGAGCTGGATACCGAAGGATCTTCATTCACAGAACGTTGGAAGGAGATTCGGGCTGCCGCTGGCATCGATGACGATTTGGGTTTGAGTGACTAAGCTGAAGAAACACTGTTCTTGACTTATTTTCAACATTTAAAATACCAAATAAATATTTTTCATTGGCTTTATTTAAATTTTAAAGTGTGCATAGTGTACAGTTTCCAATTTACACGTTTTTTTAGTTTTTAATTTAAATAAAGGTTTACCGGCTTAATTGAAGAACATGCGCCTGACAAGTCGAACAGTGAAGTAGTAGACAATTTCCGTAAAGCTCAAAGCGCTGCAGCCCAAAAAAAATCCGACAAGGCCGCCGATGTAAACTGCACGTAAAAAATAGGGAAAGTGAAAAGCGACTGGCCCAAATGACTTTTAAACTTACCCAAAACATCTGCGAAAGAGAAGAGGACGTCCCGCCGAAGCTGAAGCTTAGGGTACTCGATAATTCCCCACTGGAGGTTGGCCCCTAGGAACCAGACACGCGAGCGCTTAAGAAAAGCCGGAAAACAGAGGAAAACATTGAAAATATACATATACACTTAAGCAGATAACAACAACAACAACGAAAGCAAAATGAGAACAACATCATCATCATCAGTATTCTGGTAACAACAAGGCAAGTAAGCAAAAATTATTATTAAATGTAAAAACTTTCGCCGCACACTGCGCGAAAAAAAGTTAAACAAAACTTTTGGTTTGCCGCCCCCTTTTCGCACACCTCATCCCCAAAATAATTGCATATTTCAAGGCGCCCAGTTCCTGCAACTTCTGTGCTTATTATTTTTTATAGCCCTGGACTACAATTTTGATGTTTGTTTAAGGCAAATGCCCCCGAAATGTTCGTCCCTTCGCTCTGTTCCGTTGCTCCGGCGGATTTTCCTTAGTTTTCCGGGCATTTTTCCACTTGAAATGCTCGACGCAGCGGCGTCTGCAGTTGCCACTTAACGAGCTCTCTGGATGGCGCTTCTGTTCGCCATAAACATTTTTACAGTTAAAGTTTACTTTATATTTTTAATAGGGGATTTGCCATTTTTTCATTTATTTTTATTATTATGTGCGATGTACTTACGTAGGACTGCACAAAGAAGTTCGAATCATCGCAGTTAGCCAAACAATTGCAATTGATTTTGTATTTGTCCGATTTCAGGGAAATTATCTCGCCTGTGTGGTAAAATAAATGGATTTAATATTACAAAAAACCCAAAAGAATATCGTAAATATGGTTAAATGCCAGTTAAAACTTAATATTCTTTTCGCATCATCTGTAAACTTAATATTCTTATCTGCAATAAAAAACAGCCTTTTCCGTTCAAAATATTTATCCAGCTCATCAATGTCAAACTGCTTTTCCACAGCAAATTACTTCCACAATTTCAATTACGCAACAGGTTGTCTATTCCAACCATCACTTTTGACCAGCACGGAAAAAATTAAATTATGGTCACGTCCTGGGACATTTCTGTCCATCTTTTTTTCGGGCGAAAAATTTAAATCGAATTTCCAGGGCAGGTTAAATATTTGCATGCTCTTGTGGCGGTGGAAATTACTCACGTTTAATTTTGACCAGGCATCCGATGCCCTCCAGCCCGCAAACAGGCAACCTTCGTCCATTTCGCACTGAAAAACATAAAAGAAAGAGATGGATGGAGCGCATTCGAGCGAGGCAGATAATCGGGTAAAAGTTGCCACTTAAACTACGAGTATTTAAACATTTTACGACCGAATTTGCGCCATAAAACTGGGCAGCTTTGATGCATCCCCGTCCGGCGCATAAAAGTTAACTTTAATGGGGGCCAATTAAGTGCAACTCTGTGTCCCGAAAATATGATTATACCCACAGCGGTTCCGGTAGAAGTGTGGAATGCATCCGCAGACCCTCAGAGCGAAAAACATTCGACACTCCGAGAGGCAGAGTCCAAAACTGTAGATCGGCACTGTCTTCATGTCCTCGGCCTCGTAGTTAAAGCGGCAGCTCCTTTGTTTGGTGCTGAAACTAATGGAAACAACGTAAATATATTAGAAATAAATGAGTACAGAACTCTACTTACGCTCTTGCCTCCTCGTTTGTGTAGATCTCTAAAGCGATGAGTTCAACAGTGGTATAGTCACTTTCCGGAAAGGTATATCTCTGCTTCGATATGCTGGGAACATCCCCTGCCCCATGGAAATAAACATCATAGGCCGTCGAAAGGTTTATAATCTGGGCGTAGATTTCGCCGTCCAACGGATGCACTGTCACCCTGTCGCCATGGTCCAAAAGGCTCCAATCGCCAGAGCGCCAGTAGCTGCCAAGTAGCCAGAAAGCCAGAAATCCAGAAAGCCATCAAATCAGAGCCACTTCCTGGCCAACAATTACTCACTCGAAGGAATTGTAGCGGGCCACCAGCGAGTTGACTGAATGGCAAATTCCAAACTCCGTTTGCGTCTCGTAGATGAACATTTTGACGGCGGCGCCGCTGCTGATTTCCGGCTCGAAGGGCCATTTCAGTTCGTACAGCAGGTCCAAGTACTTGCCACTCGGAATCCCATAAGATTTGTTCAGCGGCAGCGTCTCCAAGTTGTCGTATGTGAGGCTGGCAAGTTTTACAATAAAATCGCGGAAATCCTCTTGATCCTCCTCGGACAAAAATTGTTCGGGATGGGCACTGAATGTGTGCATCCGGGGAAATAAATTTAAAAGGATTTTATACTTTCCAAATTTATTGAAAAAATACGAGTATATACTCAAATAAAATTATTTATTGCTTTTTTGTCTAATTTTATAGGTGAATTTCGGAAACTCTTCATCCGTTGTTTTAAAACTTTTTTTTTATTTTATAAAAATAATCCCAACTTACAGTATGTACTCCTCCACTTTCAACTCATCGATTCGCTTGTGAGGACAAACCGTCAGTGATGGAAAGCTCGTGTTCCAGACCAGCTTATTCCGATCCATGGATATAACCATTGGCGAGTTCTGAAACCGATGCCAGGTCCTTGTGCTCAGCGAGATGATGCTGAATAATGCCATGCAGATGAATGCAAACCAGAGCATGCTAAAAAATGAATAAGAATTCAGACGAAAATGCCAAAAAATGCCGCAGAGTCAAAAATGATATATGGATATGGAATCTAGGGAATAATTCGCACTGCTGTCGAGTGTGCATTCTGGCGGAGGACATAAAAATCTATTGCGTGTAAATATTTTCTGTTAGCATTATGCGAAATATTCGCGATGAAAAAATTATGGCCAACTAGAAGAAGGAGTCAATGAACGCATCAACGCTTTTGCAACCCTTTACTGGTTTTTCTTTCTTTTCGTCTTCTTCCCTTTTGTTTGAAACGCCACAAACAAACTGGCAAACCCACAGACAGAAGTCGCCAAAAATCCTTTGCAGAATTTCCCATTTCAGGCGAATGTCTTCTACAATGACATTTTGATGCCAGGAATGGCTCATAAAGCTTTCAACACTCACACACACAAACACTCTGCTACTTGGCTTTTAATTTTCCCAAACATTTTCCAACTCTTTATAATTTCTGTGTAAAGACTTCCTTGCTTTTTTTCTCGACTTTTCGCCTCCGACAGCTGAGTTCTGTACTTTGTGTAACACCACAAAATTCCTTTCGGACATCTCATATGACAGACTCGTAGTCATTCTCATTGCCAATCCCACTCCCATTTCCACATTTTCCCCTTTCCTCGTCATTTCCCAGCTACTGTCAGTCTGGCCTGCAATTTATGTATTTGCTTTGTTTCATCATCTCGGCACTCATATGCATAAAATTTGTGCGTGAATGAGGCTCAGTGATGCATGTTTGATGCCACAGAAAATCTCGTTTGAAAATCATCCATAGGGGTGGCTATTTGCTTTTTTATTAAGCTTTGAATTCTTGAATTCCAACAAAGTTTATATTGTGGTTCTGGATTAAAGGGGTTAACATGTGGCTTATAAAATTTCTTAAATATTTACATAAGTTCTTCAGGAACGAGATTGAAAAGCGTTAATAGATCGACTAAAACCAAACAAAGCAAAAATCTTTAGTAGCTACTTGAATTGTAATTTAATATAACTAAAATCTAAAGCCAAGTAAAAATTTAAACTAAATGTTTATAACGAAGAATTGGTATTTTATAATTCTGGGAGTCTGAACGTTTTTGGAGTATTGAATGTTTGTTAAATCTTAAGAAATTAAAAAAAAAAACTTTAATTACTGCACTATCAGACCCCTTATTTTCAACCGTTTATGATATTCGGAGCCACTTCTAATGAAAAGATTTCAGCTGTGCCAGAGTTCAGGGCCCTCGAGAGTCTGATTCCCTGCCATAGATTTTAGTTTGCCCCCAAAAACAGCGCCATAATCCTGGGCGTCCTGTGCGTGTTTTGCATTTGCATTTGCAGTTTTTGGTTGTGGATTATGCAATCGTGCACCTGTCGCTGCCACCCGAAAAGGGGGCTGGTGCAAAGCCCTCATAGTTACCATATCAACGCTTGTGAAATTGAGGTTATCACATGTCAGCGACACAGACTCTTCCTCTCGAGCTTATGCATTTCCCTTTCCCCGTTTTCCCCAGGTTGTTTTGTATGCGAGTGGGTTCCTTTATATATACATTTTTTGTGGAAATGCCTTAGTTTTGAGGGAGAGATAGGGAGAGCTTAATTCGGGCTCGGGATGGAGTTCTGCATAATCCAGAAATTTGTGCGTCACAAGCTGATTTTTTGCCATGGCAAAGCATATTTCCCCTTTTTATTTTTTGATTCCAGGGTGAAATAAATCTGAATTGTGCCAAGTGGAATTGCTCAAAGAAATAAATTTTCCGAGAAAAATGTTCTACAAATGTCCAACAAATCATTTTCATGAAAGCATTTGGGGGAAGTGTATTAATTAAAGCTAAGCTCTGCGTGACCCCCTCATTTCATCCGGAGCTCACCTTTTGGCCCTTCTTCTGGTGAACACCTGTCAGTTGGGTTTCGGGTCCGGCGAAAAACTAACAATAATTGTAATTGAGCCCCATGATTTTGGGGGAGAACTTATAGGCTACACTTACAGAATGTTTTAAGTGACTTGTTATTTAAAAATGGGATAAAAATCATACCTGTAATGTTGGATAATAGACTTTTCAAAAGTAAATAAACCATAACCTTAAAAAAAATTTTTATTTTTGCCTAATAAAAAATAAAAGTAAAGCTAATAGGTTTTTTTATTTAAGAAATAATTTTTTCTATAAAATTTCCCTTTCTCTTTTTACTTTTTGTAAGCGATAAAAGCTACACTCATTTTCGGATATTCACTAATTGTTCTTATTTTATTTAAACTTTCAAAGTTTTTCCTAATTTTTCTCTCAGTGCCTGCTTGGCCCTGTCCTTGGCCTGGCTGTTATCCACTAATTAACCCTCAGTCGGCAGCCCTGACAGATTTCCCACCGACCACCGCATCCGCATTCGCATCCGCATGCTCTGCCCCTGCCTTTCGACCACTTTGGTGGAGTGTTGCCAATTTAAGCCTTGCCATGGCCAACACGGAAAAAGAGAAAGGTAGCTAAAGAGCCGGAGAATTCCCCTCGTCTCCCCCTTTTTCTGTGCATGTGTGTAATCCTGTTTGTCATGTCATGTCAGTTTTAAGGATTTATTGCACCGCACAAAAATACAAATTCCAGCAACAAAAATATAACTTCGGCTCACAAGAATCCCCTTTTTTCTCCGCCGACCACATAAATCGGAAGATATGTGGAAAAATGTATTTCCGTTGGAAAAGTTTTATGTGGGGGTTCAGCACGCACTTTCCTTTCCCTCCAGGACTTTTCTGATATGTATCCGAATCAGAGATTCCTGCACGTGTCCGCGGTCGTTGGGTAGTCCATTTTTAAGTCCTCGACTTATAGTTTTGTATCGTTTTAGTTTGCATTTTATGGCTTCTAAGGGGCGAACGAAAGTAATCCTGTCTAAAAGTTAAACCAGCGGTTTCTGCTCCTTTTAGGCCGTAATGAGGCTTAGCCATAATTTGCCTTGTAAATTAATTGAGTGGAAATGTTGACTGAGACCTTGCGGCCGCCTAACCAAACATTTGCCTAATAAGATCAAGGTTTAAATGGTGTGACCTAAACGTTGGCTTTAAAGAAGAGAGGAAAATCACCTTTAAGAGTTGTATTCTACTTGTTGTAGTATCAAACATAGGGTTCTTAAGGGTATTATGCTATTGGTTTTCATTTGTAATCTGAAGACAACAGACTGCCATATGCTAATTAAGAGTTTTTCCAATTATCTCTTGGCGCAATTGGTTCGCTTTGTTTTCCTTTCAAGAGCTCATATGTTCCTCTGTTACCCCCACTTTGAGTCCAATTCCATTACCCATTATCAAGTTGTGCCCCCAAAAACGAGCCATTGAGGGCACCACACAAATCAAAACTCACCGTTCGGCGAAATTCAGACCGAGCTTGGCCAAATAAATGAAGCCGTGTATGGAGGAGCCCTGCAGGAACTCGATTATGAAGGCCTGCACTTTGGCCAGGCAGGCACTGCGGCTGTCCCTTCCAGTTTCCCCATCTAAGTCCTGTTCCCCTGCTCCCCTCTCCTCCACGTGATCCGTGATGGGCTGCGGTTGCCATAGTGGCGGTCGGCGAAAGGAGCGAATGCTCCTAGCGGGTCCTTGCTGATTAATGGCCACGTTCCCGTCATTAGCTTTCGCAATTGTTTTGCTGTCCGTGCTGCCGTTTGGATTATGCTGATGTCTTTGCGCCGTGCCGGGAAAAATCAGTAGTCCAGGACCCGACCTCCTGGCCTTATCCTGCGGCGGTCGCAGCGAAGCCGTCGACGAAGTCAGCAGCGAGTCGCTGCCGGATGCGAATGCCTCCTTTTCGTCCCAGCTGCTCCTTCTTGACGAGGATGCCGTTGTCCTTGCCGCCGCTGACGGCGAGCTGTCGACAATTTTCGGTTGCATATCCTTGGGCGCTGCTGCAAGACAGGATTTATTGGTGCAATTTTAGAAAGTTAATGAGCAAACTCATTGGCAGATGAACAAAATGCAAATTGTATAGGTATTACAGATTTGATGGTTCTAAAAAAAGCTGTTAACCTATTTTATTTTTTAAAAAATTATGAAGTCTCTTAAAATCAGTTATTGCATGATTTTAGGTGACTACAGATGTAATGATTTATGAGAATAACTATATGTATTTTATTGTAACTTTTTTAAGATGTAGTGAACAAGCTAGAATATAAATTTTCAAGCGAGTCATTATTTAAAAAACCGAATTAGCTCTATTTCGAATTCTTTTTGGGAAGAACATAATGAAAGTAACTTTTGTTTACTTGAAAATGATGTACCCAACGACAAAGTTTAAATGAAAAAATACAAATTAATTTCAAAGAAGTTGAATTCAATTGTTTATTGCCCTTTTGTTTTAATCTTTACGATTTCTGTACCACTTGTCCATATGCTACCGCTAAAATCCCACTTCAGGGAGAACACTACAGCAGTAATCGTCTGTCAATAGCACTTGCCGAACACTCCACTCAGTTGCATCATTACACATGTGGCATGAACTCCCTCGCACACTGATTACAGGACAAACTTCATAATTTGCACGGCCCGAGAGCATTGTAACATGGTTAAGCTCTGATTTTTTATCACCACTCCCTGTTCATTAAAATATAAATACGTCTCTTTAAATATGTTTTTGCGGTGCGGCGGCAGGTTGCTGGACATGGCCAACAAGGACAATAATAAATCATCATCGGGGGTTTTAATGCGCTGTAAATTATGCCTGATGGCGGACGCAGCTCCGCGAGAGTAAATCCAATGGCTGACACGAATTGCAATCAATGCAACGGGAGTGTAGCCAAGTTGAATGGGGATCGGACTTATCATCATCATCATCATCGCGGAATTGTGGCCGGGCATTAACTTAGTTAAGGATTTTCATTTGTGAGCGGCTGACGTTGAAGAGATTGCGATTAAATGGTAATTGGATGGTCAAAATGTTAAGAAGATTTTTGTTCTGATCTTAACGGGTTTTGTTTCGAATATTTTTTGATTTAATTAAGATTATACATATTTTTGTTTATTATTTTTTAAAAAAAAGTTTTTTCGCATTTCAAATAATAAATATGCAATATAATGTTGTGAGATTAAGTACAAGCAAAGGAAATTTATTCTTGTTTTCATAAAGAAAACGTTCATACAATCGAATAATCTTCTCCATTCAATTGTTGTCCTTTGAGGAGCGCAAGGCGATCAGTAGGCCTTCAATAGAATCGAACGGACAGACAAATAAGGACCCCGAAGGTAATCAGCGAGATGAGCCGGAACATCAAAGGCTTCCCGAGAGTGTCCAACTGCGTCCTTAAAACTGGATTAAAATTTCATTTAAATTTGCATTTAAATGAGCGTCGAACACTCAAAGTAAATGACCCCATTCAGGCCCAGTCCGCCCGGCTCGGCAACTGGAATCCAGAATCCACTCCACAATTCTGCCGGGGACAAAGGTCCAGACGCGAACTTGTGTTTTCCAGACCCAGACATGGGTGGCGAACCCTCCCCCTCACCCCTTCCCCTTCCCGCCCCCTTTTGCATCCCTTCACCCCGTGCACATGGCCAACATTAAAAGGATTTCTCTTTTTGCATTTTTCAACATTTCATTGCGAATGCGACTTTCCCCGGCAGTTGATTACCTTTTGGCAGTTGATATCGGGTGGTCGGTTGGCCAGAAGGGGGGTTTATTTATATGGACTGCAGCTTAAGCAGCCAAGTCTGCTACTGCCACTTTTAATGGATATTGTTTAAAAATGTAATATTTTGCAATTAAATAAAGGCGTTTGGCTGACCCTTAGCATTACCCGTGGCGACCTCGATTCGTGTCGATTCCCAAACATTTTCGTTTTTTCCTTTCTGTTTTCACTATAAAGTATACATGTGCATTGCGCTTGCTGTCTTTTTCATGTTAATTAATATTGCAGAAACGCTTAAAGGACATTTTAATTGGCCTTCACTTTGTGGGCCAAGCGAATTGCTATTGGGCAAAGGGGAAAATGAGGGGATTGGGAAAGAAGAGCGAAATCTGTAAGCTATCGAAACGTATTCAACTGGGCTTTTATCATTCTTTGGGGATTTTAATGAAATGAGGGAATCGAAAGATATGAAAAATATTTTTTATATTTTATATGGCGAAGTATGTATTTGTAAGTTCCTGATAAAATAGTTTCCATAATAGCATACATTGGATTTCAATTAAAGATAAAGTAATCTGCATGTGTAAGCAAATACATATAGCTAAATAAGATAGAATGTCTAAAGTTGGTCAATATTTTATCCATAATGCGACATGAAGCCGCACGTATTTCTCCGCAATACATTTCCGGTCAATTTATTCACAAACAAACCGATTCCTTTTAGCATTGTCTCAACACAAGTTGGCTGAGCTAACATTTGCTTCGAAACTATTGCTGTGTTCACTCGTTGAAATAACAAATTTTCCAATTTATTTCTTGATTTATTCTCACGCCAATTTCTTGGCTTTCGTGTCCGCCCTCAGCAACATGGCTTGACATTTGTTTATTTATTTGGCCTCATGTTTTGTCTTGTGCCATTCCTCTTCATTGTTTTCCGCAGCTTCTTCGCATTTCCCCCTTTTGCGTGAAATCACGAATGAATGAATGACTGCCCCGGCAAACGCCATGAATATTCATGGGCCATGCCACCAGACACACACGAATAACAACAGGACCAAGGCGGCAGCATCACCAGATACCGGGAGCAGAACAGAAACCGAAGCAGGAGCAGGAGGATCGGCAAGGACTACGGCTACAACATATAGCTAACTCAGCTTGCATTTCCGCTGAATGCGGCAACAATTCGCAGAACCATTTTGCTGTCCACGGGCAGCAGTTTCTCACAATACCCTTACCAATCGGTATGATTTTTAAGGGATTTAGCTTCGATTGGGTGTTACCCAGAAAGAATTTCAATATATATTGTACAAATGTTTGTTATTTTATAAAAGAAATTAAGCTCTAGAATGCAGAATGCCAAATATAACTAAAGCTTTCTATAAATTGAAACTGTTTTCCATTGACTATTTAAATTAGACTAAAGACTTTCGAATATAGTTTTTAAACTCTGCACTTACTATTTATAAATTTCTTAAATACCTATTTAGAGTCTCTCTTGTTCGACAGTGACTCAGTAATAATTTTCTTACGCCCTTGTAGACGCTGCTGTTTGGCTGAAATGTGTGTTTGTGTGCTCGCAGATGTTTCTTGGCAAGATGCTGCAAATTGTTTGGGTTTAGTTGTTGCTCTAGCTGCAGCCGGTGTTATTGTTATTTGCGCTATTTGTGCAACAGTGGCTCCGAGTGGCTCGGTGCTGCTCGGTTGGTGGTTGATGGTCTGTTGGGCTGTTGGTTGCTGGTTGCTGGTTGTCGGTGTCGTAAGCAGCCAACGTTTTGCGGCCGCATGTGCAACAGTTTCTTTCCCGCCCGCAAAAGTAGGCAATGCTTTTTGCACTCGCAGCGAACAACAGGAAATTTAATTAAATGCACTTTTCTCGCCGACATTGCGAAAATGTTGCGCAACCTTGTCGAACGTACCGCAGATTTACCTTTACCGCTACAACTCACTGTTCACTGTTCACTGTTCACCTTCTCCTGGTCACTGGTTACTGGTCACTGCTCCCAGCTTACTGCTCACTGTTGGCCAACGGGGCCCTTTGGGTTAAATGCAATCAGTCGACCGCCTGCACTTGACTTTTGTTAAGGGCTTACACAGCGAGAAAAATCTATGAAAACAGAATTATCTTTACATTAAAATAAATATTGTTTATTTGCCTATTTGATGTGTTTATTTGAGCTTGGAAATAGGTACCGCCAATTTTTTCCCTCAGTAACCTTAATAAGTTCTCAACCAATTTCTTAATATATAGAAAACAGTCGAATAAATATAGAAGGATCACCATTACAGTTTTATCAAATTGGTTTTGAAATTATTGAAACAATATTTTTTATAAAGCTTACAAAATCAAAATGTAATTACATGAAAACAATAAATTCGGATTAGGAGTGTTTATTTCTGTGCACAACTCATGAGAAACTTCTCAGCTGCTGGACGATTTTGGATTTGGTCACTCGTTCCCGCTTTGATTACCCTTTGGACAATTTGGCATTTGTGGTCCGAAACACGTAACTCTGGTTCCGATTTTGATTTGGTTCTGCCGGGGATTGCTGATTGTGTTGTTCCCGCTCAGATTGTATTGATTTTCCTCAAACGCTAATTACTCTGAGTGTGGGGAAAAAATTCGAAAGTCGCTTGCAGGTGGCACTAGTTGGGTAATTGTGGTCAGATAACATTTCATGCTGGAAATTTAACAGATGAAGTGGTTTGTTCCATTGTTCGTATTCTTTATACACATAAGCTCGAAGAGTTGATTTAATACTCTAATATATTTACCTGTTGATTCTATTAAATGTAACTTACTTATTATTTACTTACTATGGTTTATCTTTACCGCTTTTCATTAAAACTTTAATACTTAATCGTTTAGCATTACTTTTAGCTTTGAATATATTCACGTTCTTTAGGTTTCTTAAAACTCCTACTCTACAAACTCCTCCTATTTTTAGGCAACAAAATAAATACCATTTATATGTTGTTAATGTTACTCCCATGAATCACAGCCCAAGTTCTTATTCTCGCAGCAATAATCCAATCAATTTGATAACGCTAAATTAATCATATCCCTGCACTCGATGGAAGCTGCTCCCCCAAACAGAATTTGAAGCGAAAAGCACAGCCACCCACTCCATTCAGCGGTGTTTCAACATTTGGGTTCGATAATGGGGCAAGTACACAGAGTTGGACCATTGGGGTGATCCCGCCCATTGCCACATCCCCTGTTCTTTGATTTTGCATTTGGGTTGCCTTCCACGGGATGAATCAAAGCTTCTC